TATATATATATATAATTTATTTCCTAAACAATATTGATTATATTATCTCCTAAGTTTAATTAAAGTAGAATTATTTTAAAAGAGTGAATCCATACTGGTAAGTTATATTTTGAAAGATGTATATATATATATATATAAAGTCCGAGATCCGGACATCTAATATCTGGAATGATCTAAAATCTGGACCTCAAAGCCACCACCAACCAATTTTTTAGGGCTTTTTTGAAGGGAAGGGGTTGCTTTACGCACGCGCATTAGATTTTTTCCCTCATCATAAAAAAAATGCCAGAAATCCGATTCTTAATCTTAGTTTGGTGCTAAATAAAATATCTCATTATTGAAGAAATAATTATTTTAGCATAAATTTGTGTGATTAGTAACTTGACTCCATAGCTGCGTATCTGCTTGGCATAATCTCAAACCGAAACATTTGTTAATTTTACACCAACTAATATTTTATATCCTTGATGCCGAAATCGCGAATCATTATTTATTGTATTTTGCTTTCATCACCGCATGTTTATCAACGAATGACAACTTGAGTGATGAATCATGCAGCGATGCCAAATAACAGAGTATTATACGATTACAGATTTAAATTTAATGCGCTAAAATGTAAAATGTTGACAAGGGGAGATTTAGCAGAAATTTCTTTCCTTATGCTAAAAATAGATTTTGTTAATGATACTCATAGGACAAACGATTATATTTAGTGCTATTTGAATTAAGAATAACTGATTTGTTATTCACATAAAGCCAGAACCAACCAGCTCCAGAGCTCGCATGGCCGCACCAGGCGGCAGAATTTAGCGAAGTTAAACAGAAGTTTTTCATTGCAATGACAATGCCCAATCATCAATCAATTAACGGAGGGCGGAATCTGTAGTATGGTTCTAAATCCAGAAAATACAGCTACCGATAGTGAAGAAAGTAACAGAGAGGTTACTGAACGAGAAAAAATTTTGATTGACAAGTTATTCGGAATTCTCGACACAGCAAGCAATTACAGGACTTGAACAATGGAACTTAATAACTGAACAAGAAATTATATGTCTATAGTATTAGTCTAAAGTATTAGCAGAGAAAAAAAACAAATCAAACAACTCACATTGAAAGAAATGTTTATTAAAGTAAACATATAAATATTAAGCTCTTTTCTTTGGTAAATTTTGATACCCTTTAAATCATAAATGCTTCATTATTTCATAAATCACGATTTCATATTTTCAATTTTATAATTTCTACGTGCCATCTTAGTAGATTTAAAATGATCTAATATCCGGAAAAATCTCAAATCTAGGATCGCCGAAGTCCCGACGAGTCCAGACCTCGGACTTTGTACACTGTATAAATATATATATATATATATATATATATATAATACGGAATGTATATTTTCAGTTAAACTTCTACCCAATAACTTTAGTAATTCATGAAAGTTAATTTTGCGTCTAGTTAATTCAGGAAAATTAGTTTCAATTAGTTGTTTTCAGCTTTAAAAATATTTAAAAAATTTTAATTAGTTATTTTCAACTAATAATTGTATCGCCATTAGCAAAAATTATGCATTACTATCAAAAACATAGGTTTAAACCAAATACTTAATTGTCTATTGAAGCTTCAAAACGTATTTCCGAACTTCACTTTTTCTCAGCTAGCGTTACCGATTTTGCCCTTGGCGACCTAAAATCGAAATGGAGCCAACAGATTTCCCGCGAAATCGATAAGAGACCCTCTGCAGAAATAAACTCATAATCCCGATATCCCATACATATAGTATGTGCAAAAGAGAATAAACTCCGTAGAAGGTGATAAAAAATTAATTTATGGCTTAATTGAAACAAACACAGAAATTAAGCTAAGCAAAACCGTGTAAAAAAAAAAATTGAAATGATAAAACGAAACTTAATTTTAATGTGAATTTTCAGTGCTGACTCTCCCATTCTAGAAATTTCAATTTGTTTCAGACAAAGACCACATTTAAGGATTGCCATCCATCAATATCCAGTCTTTGTAGTCAGCTTGATGAAGCCACAGTTTATTGAAAATGCACTTTCCAGGCATCTCGTTCCTATTGGCGTCGGAAGGGTTGTGGCCTTCCAGGTTGGAATTGCTCTAGTTTTGGCAAATATTTTCAGAATCTCCCCCCTCCCTTTTTTTTTCTCGAGCACCTTCATCATCACTTTCGCCTCTTAAAGAACTTCCAGCTTCACGCTTTCGTCACAGTCTGCCTAAATTTATGGATAACACCTGTTTCGAAAGATTGCGTGATGAATAGCCAATCAGACACCGATACTTTCGTTCGGGTAGCTAATTGTTTTTTTTTTTTTTTTAATCGTTTGCAATGCAAATCCGCCAACAGATTAGTTAAGAGCTGTGTAATTTTAATTCCATATTCATGAGAAATCGTAATTCACACTTAGAATGGCAATCATTAGAAATGATAAGAAATGTCAAATGAGCAAAATTAAGGACCGTTTATTCCTTTTGGCCAAAATTAAGGACTTTTAAGGACCGTACGAACTTTTAAAAAAATTATATAAACATATTGTCAAAAAAAGCGGGGGCAAAAATTAAAAAAATTAGAAAGTTTATTTACCTAATAAATAAATTTGAGTAAGAACAAATTAAATATTTATAACATTAAAGATAATTGCTTAAAAACTGAATTGGAAAAATCAATGATATTTTGGCAAATATAGTTATATTAAGTGGCTAGCCTAGGTGACTGGTTATTTTTTTTTTACTGCAAAATGACAAATAAGGCATTTATTGAAAAGGAAAAAAAATACGTTTGAAGGATTTTGCAGTAAAATCCTCATACAAGCTATGGCCTTGGCATGATTTGAAAATTGTGGCCAACACCAAAACGACCTATTTACTACTCATCATAATGTCACCAAATTCTGTATGTACTGTACATGGAGGTTAGAATAGAATAGATGGAGGCTATTCTAATCTCTATGGTACTGTATACTAGGATTAAACCAATTTTGTTTTATACAAGAATACATATTTTAGTTCAGTACGTACTGAATATGCACATGCGAGTCTCTCAATTCTCGAGATTACTGAACACCAAAGTTGCTGGAAACTTGCTCTGCTTTTCTAAAAGACAATCTAATTGGAGCTGTGAAAATTCAGCCAGCTGGTTTCGAATGACGCTCACGGGATACATTATTCCCTGACTTTTCCAGATTTTGAATAAAATATTTAAATTCCCCGACTTTTTCCGGAATTTTCTGGTCAATTTTTGAATTCCCCGACTTTTTCTGGTTTTCCAGGTAGTGTAACAACCCTGAATTACACAAATATTTAGTTCAACAAAATTATATACATTCATGATGCTGTTAAAGAACTCAATAAAACTAAATGCTATACTTTTCCTTCTACACACTTAATATTTAGTTTTTACTTCATAAAAATTGTCCGAAACAAAATACCACTTACTTTGTTATCACCTGTAATTACAATAACACGAATACCAGCTGCTTTACAACGCCTGATAGCATCTTTTACTTCTTTTCTTGGAGGATCTAGCATTCCAACAACACCAACAAATGTCATCCCTGTCTTTATATAAATAAGATATATTTATGTATATAATGAACAATGTATGCCATTTCTAGTGTCATTACATATCTTCTAAGTATATACAATAAAGAATATTAGATTAAACTTACTTCATAAGTAGCAAATTTTGAGGAGTCCGCGAGATCCATAATAGAAGGATTTGGTGGATTATCGATCGTTGCTAAAGCTAAACAACGCAAAGTGTCTCTGCCTGTTCCGTATTGTTTAGTTATGTCCAATATTCTATTTTTGACTGAAGCAGTCATTGGTAATTTGGTGTTTCCAACTCTTACATAAGAACACCTATCCAAAACTCCTTCAGGGGCACCCTAAAATAATTGCAATATTTACAGCAATGTCATGGAAAAACTATGCTAAATGATTAATTTTAAAAAAGGGGGGAATCGATGGCTTACACATAAAGATGTCTAAAATTATTATTAAAAATATAAAAATAACATTACATGAAGTAATTAATCTGATTTGTTTTTTTTTTTTTTCTTCCTTACAATGAGCAAAAGGTAAATTCCACCCCCTTTTTTTTAGTGTAATCCAGATCACTTTAATTAATCTGCTTCTGTTCTGCTTCTGTAACTTAAAAAGTGCCCCGATTTCACCCACATATGAAGCAAATACGAAGAATGTTTCCTCAGTAAATTTCTGCAGTTCAAGCCTTGATTTGAGAATTTATTAAATCAAAACTATCTCATGACATTAAAGTACAATTTAAAAGAATCCTTGAGATGAAGAGATGCTGGCCATTTAAAAGAAGGGTACAGAACTGTGAAAATGACAAAATGGTTAAATGTTTCAAGTCAGACAATCTTCTAAAAACAAACTAAGAAGCTGAAACAAAGTGACAGAGTTAAATGTTTCCTGAAAGTAATGATTTCTGTGTGCTGCAGCTTGCTCGTAAGAATAAGGCATGACAGCAAGGCAATTAACAATCTTTGGGCTTGCAGTTGCCAAAGTAATTTTTATATTACAGCAAACTGTAAACAGAATACTTAATATAACAAAATCTTTATGCTAGAAAGCCAATGGTGTATTTCACTAAAGAAGGTTAACCTGTGTTGGTGTCAAAAAGAGCTGAATGACAATACTGATCATGTGTTCTCTTTAGTGATAAATCATGGTTCAATTTAAATACTTCACTCTAAACATATTTATTTATGATGGAAACACAGACAAAATTATTCTCATCAATATTAGGAAAAATGACTGCTATAAGCAGTGCAGATCTGATAGCATGCAGAGGAATAATTATCAATGGATGCATTTCTCTGCACAACTGACAATGGATTTATATTGGGCCATGATATTAAGATGAAATCTTAAATCATTATGCATTTTAGAAGTACATATGGATCTGTCTTTTGTTTCCAGAATGATAAAGCAGGCCTACATTAAGCAAATAAGGCTGATGAAAGGCCCAAAGTGAGTTAGAAGCAAACCAAATTTGCCAATTATAACCTCCACGCAGAACAAATGTGGCATCCCTGGTAGAGTTGCTACATGGTAAAATTCTCCTTCTAGAGATCTCAATGCCCTTAGGACTATAGCTGGAATAACAGAATTTACCAATGAGCAGAATTAAAGCTTTCTGAATGAAACAAGTTACCAACCATATTAATTATTTACAGAAAGTACAAAATCCATACATTTAAAATTATAAAGTCACATACAAATCGGATAAATTGGAGTACACGCAAAACATTCTGTAAAACTATACAGTATACGATTACACTGATACTGGCACAAAAATCATATTATGGTTAATATTAGATATAATAAAATACCAATATATTTATGCACAGAAGTTCTATAAAACAGTAAATGATAGATGAAGAAAGTTACTACTCATGGCACAGGTAGTTTATAAAAAGTACTTGTTCAACGTATGCCTGGAATTTATTATTGAATGATAGGAAGACTATACATATAGGAGATGAGATTGACTTCCTTTGAAGATCTCTCTCTCTATATATATATACGTAATTAAGATACAATTTTTTAATATACTATGCAATTAAAATTTTATGTGGTAAGATGAATAATCAAAATAAAAATTAGAAGCAGCAGAAAAATATCTTAAAATTTTACAACTAGATTACCAACCTTACAGAACATTTTTGGTCCACTTCCAAGTCTATTTGCCTTTACGGGGATGCAGTATGTACTCATAGACTTACGATCACGAGAGAATTCTAATGTGAACTCCTTCCTCCACATTGAAGAAATACCCTGATTTACAACCACAGCAGCATCTCGACGACTTAAGCCAGTTTTGTTATAACCAAATGGATTCATTTTTTCTGCTAAAACGACCAATGCAGTCTCTGTGGCTTCTCCCACTTTTTCAAACATTTGTTTATACTAAAAATACAAGTACATATATTAATAAGGGCAGTTAAAAATAACAGATAAAACAGAATTATGAAGATAGTTAATACAATTTTTTGTTTTTCACAGCCCCATTATTAAAACGACTCCAAGAATATTGCCAAATTTAGCAGTGGCTGCCATATCTTCACGACTGCTTTTAATGGCATCGAAAAGCTATCTTTCCCAAAGAATTTCTGCCAAATGAATTCGGAAAGATACGATTCTAAATGTAAAACCATATCCCTTTGCTTTTTGTTTTGCCATTTAGCAAAGCCCCACAATTTTTCCACATTTTCAGTTGGAGAACTTGTTTCTTGATTAACAAGATAAAATGTGTGATTCACAGTTAAATGGCTGTAACCAGCCTTTTCAAGCTCGTCTGTTTTATAGCCTAACCAGCAATCTGAATCTATTGTAAATTTTTCTACAACATTGTCTACAATCGTTGATATCAGTGTGCTTGCCTTCTGATTTGTAAACTGAACAATAAATGACATGCTATTTTCATGGCAAACCGCTATTGATATCCATTATTAATATCCACTATTTTGGGAGTACCCTAACCAGCAGGTTTTTATGTGGGGGGGGGGGGGTCGGCCATGCAAACAAACTCATAAATGACTATTTTTCCAGGGCCACGCATTTGCCCATTAGATTGCTGAAGCAAATCTAGCAAACAGACTCTCTCATAAAATTGTTCCAGTCAATCGTGGCTTTCGCTTACATAGTTTCATTTTGTGGCCACTTGTGTACATTCATTGCGAGGTAATAAATCTAAACAATATTTGCATCTTCAACACTCCTCAGTAAATTAAAATGTCACCTTTTTTTGTCGCTTTTTCACTGTTTAAGCTAAAAACAGACATATCATGTAGTTCATCAAATTTGGCAAAGAGAAGTTGAAAGTAAAAGTTTCATTTTTTACATAATTTGGCGGCTTATTATGGTTGCCATGAAAACCAAGTAATAGCCAATTTTACAATTCAAGAGAAAATTCTGCACTACATTTTTAGTAGCTACAGTACAAAGTCTGTAATCTGGACTCATTGGGACTTCGGCAATTCCAGAATAGGGGTTTTTACAGATTATAGATCATCAATTTAAATCTCGTAAGATGGCATGCAGAATTTATACAATTAAAAATATGAAACCGTAATTTATAAAATAAACAGCAATTATGATCTAAAGGGTATCAAAATTTACAAAAAAAAAAAAAAAAAAAAAAAAAAAGCTTAATATGTACTTGTTTACATTATTTGTTAAACATGTCTTTCAATGTAAGTTGTTTAAGTTGCTTCGTTTTTTGTGCTAATACAGTCAAAAGTCTTTAATCCGGACGTCCATAATTCAGAATGATCTATAATCCGGACCTCAAAGCTACAAACTTTCTGCACATGATGCGTTGACGCATGCGCATAATACCTTTACGCATGCGTCAACGCATAATACCTTTATGCATGCGCGTTTAATGTATAACGGACGGTATAAGCTCAGCTAAAATTATCTAATTATCTATTTCAGTTAATGTTGCAGATTGCGTTGTTCTTTAATCTTCTAATTGGATCCGCCTTATCATTTTTTGCAGACTGTTAGAGCAATTTTATAAAAGTAAGCTTGAACTTTCGATTATGCATACCTGCCAACGTCTAAAGATAGAAATTCAGAAGATTTCTCCAAAATTCAGAAGAACACGAAGAATTAATATCATGCTTTGATATTAAAAAAAATAACATTTATACAAATAGAAAAAAAGAAATTGTACTTACATTAGTAAATCTCAATTAAGTAGTAACTAAAAAATTTATTAGGAAACATAAAACAAGAACTTAATGTTACACAAAAAAATAATTGTAATGAATTTAGAGTGCATTTTTTGGCTTTAGCCAAAAATTCTTTGGAAAATATCCTGTCATAACAATTAGTTTCCTCATAACATTTAGCAATTACTATGTTTTCTAGAGTTTTTGGTGAAATTGAAGAACGAAACATAGTTTTGTTTTACTTCACAACACTGAAGACTCTCTCGCACTCAGCATTACTGTGTGTAATTACGAGAATAGCACATAAAACTCTTGCTAGTCTATCATATTTTGGGTTCCATCAGCTCTTTTTATTCTTTTTAAGGTACCACCAACGAGGACATCAAGTTTATCTTCTCCAGACTGGCAAAGTCTTCAAACTGTGCAGCAGAAAATTGGTTCTGTAGTTCAACTAAAGCATCATTATGGCATTCATTTTCTTTAATTGTTAACAAAAATGGAAATTTATCAATAAAAAAAAAAAACGAATCTTTTCAAAAGATGAATTTTCAATTTGTTTCAAATTTGCCACTTCAGCATTTAAAAGAACTTCATTTTGCAAAGGAAACTTTCTTACAATGTAATCACAGGCTGAGGAAAGTACTTCTAACACATTGAAAAAAATTCCTTTTTTCTCATGATCTTTCAAAGAATTTACAAGCTCCCTGGTTTGATTTCCAATTATAAGATCATTGTCCATCCGTTTGATTTGCCAAACTATTATAGGCAATATAAAACAACACACTGTTTTTCACAACGGACGGCTTTACAAACTTAGTTAAAAGTTCTTTCAAAAGATCATTAAGAATTTGGATACACAGGGCAGATTTTGGCGAAGCTGATTGTAGAAGGGTATTTACAACTTTCAAAAATCTTAATGGTACTTAACACAAATCTGCAATATGCTTTGTTCAAATCCGAAGAAAGAACATAGAAAATCCTTTCCTCTCGGCTAATAGAAGACTGTTTCTTTTTCCCTTCAACTTCTTTAACAAAGTTGACCTTTGAAGAGTCTTCTAAGCATTTTCTTTTTAAAAGGGTTTGATTCTGTGTGTTGGCTTTTCCCTTTTAAAGCATTTTGATTAGAAGCAAAGTTGGTTTTCGGAATCTTATGCCGACAAATTTGATGGGATCTGTGGTTTCGTTTTGGTCTCTTCGTGGGAAATATTTAGCAATGCATCCCACTGTTCAATAAAAAACCTTCCTAGCACTCTGCCTAAGAATACCCATCTCGTGCATACATGTTTAAGATTTTTCTCCTCGTTCACCAGAGCACAATTCTTGGAAATGTCTTTAGGTTTTTTTCCTTTTTACCTTTTTTCAGATAGAAAAACACATCAATCAGAAGCTGTCCAAATTTAATGGTAAAGCAGCTGCACTTTTTCTGCTGCCAAATTAAATAAGTGGCATGGGCATCCAATAACAATTAATAATTCATTTGTTCTTTTTTGAGGAAAGAGGGCTACACACCTTTTGTCACCCACCATGACATGAGCATTACTGCACCAAATGAAATGCAGTTGATAATGGGATGTTAAGTTGTTCAACTATTAATTACCAAGGAGGCAATATTTTCCCCCGTAGCGTCTCCATTTAACAATGGAAACGCAAAAGATGAGTTTTCATTTCATTAGAAACATCACAGAAATATGTGACAACATGGGGTAAAGCTTCCAATCGCTGCCCGTTCTGCCATCGATTGACACCCGAAAATGCTGAATTCTGGAGTGTAGCTAACCGTTTTACTTGTGCATCGCAAGCAATTTCGTTCACAATAGAAGATGTTTTCGTGCGAGCGCAGCATATTCTGAACAATCTTGGAATCGGGAAACATCCGCCTGAAAAGTTTACTGGTGTGATCGGCAGCGCTTAGCGGCACGTTTGGTTCGTGAGGAATGCAGTAACAAACACTCTGCCAAATGACATCGGCATCCGAATTCGTAGCTGAATTTGAAAAAAAATCATCCACTTTCTTTGACATTGTCGATGCTTAGCGTTAGACGTTGTCGAAGTTAGACTTAACATGCTTCACAATGGCACTTCTTCCACCGTGACTTATTATGAAGTCACACACGCACGTTGCAAAATGCATAGTTATTTCCTTCGAAGATTCTTTTAATTGGGAAATTCTGAGCAGGCCGAATATTAAGAATACGGTTTTTTTTTTTTTTGAACTTATTTTGTAACAACGAGGTATTAAGAAAATTCGTAGCAATGCCAAAATTTTTTTTTGAACTCATTCGAACAATGACATATTAAGAAATTCGACAATCCAAAAAAAAAAAAAAAAAAAAAAAAAAAAAAAAAAAAAAAACAGAATGCGACAATCCACGCTGCTGAGTCCGAGCTCAGTAATTGCCTTGCTGGTGAAGCAAACGCGAAAAAAATAATCTGGCGCCCACAAAGAAAAGAGTGGGAGAACAAGTTCAGTGCATTGGAATGGCTGGTTAAGCGGCGAGTTGGGAAAACCGCAGGTTACTGGATTCGAAGTAGTCGCGGTAAAAAAAGATGCAATTGCGAAAATTCTAAATTTCGCAAAAAATCACTAAAAAAACACTTGAAAAAGAAAAAAAAAAAAAATCGTAAAAAATGGATTAAGATCGTAAAATCGTAAAGACAAACGCATCTTCGTAAAAATTACGAAAAATTCGTAAAAGTTGGCAGGTATGATTATGTCAAAAAGAATTTCCGATTCTGAAGCTACCAAAGGATCTACAAAGCGAAAGCATGTTCCAATGTCCATCAAACAAAATGTGGAATTGCTGCAAAAAAATGGATAAAGGCATATCCTTTGATTCTCTAATCATTCCGAGACGCGGCGCGCAATGAACTGGAAGTTGATCTGTGAGCACTATCCTTATCTTCAGGGCAGATGTTTTTATTTTATTAAGCTTATAATTCCTTACTAAATGTAGTATTTCATCTCCATGTACTCAGTCTTTGATATGATTTAAATCAAATTCCTCGTCATTATAAATATCACGAATATATATCAAATAGTTTTCTGGTTGCTATTTTCTAATTTCGACTATGTGTAATGTATGCTTTACGCATGCGCGCGTTGAAAGAAATATTTAATAAAGTAAACAAATAAATATAAAGCTTTTTTTTTGTGTAAATTTTGATACCCTTTAGATCATAACTGCTCTTTATTTCATAACTTACAGTTTCATATTTTTAATTTTATAATTTCTGCATACGATCTTACCAGATTTAAACTGATGATCTATAATACAGAAAAACCGATAATCCGGAATCGCCGAAGTCTCAACAAGTCCGGATTAAAGACTTTTGACTGTACTTTCTCCTTAATTCTATATACAGACATAATTCCTTGTTCAGTTACAAAGTTCCACTGTTCAAGTCCTGTAAGTGCTGTGTCGAGAATACTGACTAACTTGTCAATCGAAATTTTTTGGTTTATATAACATTCTCTGTTACTTTCTACGCTATCGGAAGTTCACATGGGTAAACGCTTTACTGGCTTTACGCGCATGCGTAGCAGACACGAGCATCAAACGAGCATGCGTAAGTTTGTGGCGTTGAGGTCCGGATTATAGATCATTCCGGATAATGGACACCCGGATTACGGACTTTGCACTATATTAAAAAAGTACTAAATTAAACAATTTATGCACATATTCTTCAGAATTTATTTTTAATAAATATTATTAAAAATTAATTTAATAAATATTATTAAAAATTACACATGAGCTTTCTCAAACTGGTATATTTCAGTCTAGATTGGCCACACAAAATAACTTACAGAATAAATTGACAATCTTTCATATATGCAGTCGTAATAGATGTCAATTCATTAAACACCTATTTTAAATTTTAAAGAAAAGTACTGGGATATTTTGCATTCCTTTATTTTCAGATACATATATAAATACATGTAGTATATTTATACATTTTTCTCACCCAATGTACCTTTAAAAATATCATTACAATATATAAGTTAAAAACACCTGCTAAAATACTTATTTCACAAATCTTTTAAAAGTTCAGAGTTTAGTTCTATGTACACTTTTAGATTAAAAAATGAATCAAATTTTATAATACAGAGCTCTACTCTAAAATTACAGCAACTAACAATTCATAGCTCAGCTGAAATCTGCAAAAGTTTTAGAATATCTCAGATTTTTATGAAATTTCTTCATAAATATTTTATTACTTACTAGTATACTGCTGATGATTTAATTTTATTCTCGTTTAAAACTAATAAAATTAAAAGAACTAATAGAATAAAAATACTGAAATTCAGCAGATTTTCATGCAAATTATTCAGCCTAAAAGTTGAAAAAATTTATTATCAATTAAAAATTCCATCTTTTCATGCAAAAATTACTTTCTATACAAACTAAAAAATTTAATGGTGGTTGATTTAGAAAATTAACTATCTATGTTTCTCAAATACTAATTTAATATTCTTTTTAAATGATAAATTGCATATGCTTGTTCAGACATGTGCAATAAATGTGATTGATTATCACATTTATAAGATTTTACATAAATGTTTTACCACAGAAAAGTGGCTTAAAAATTTTCCTCTGTCAAAGAAAATATGTGCATACTTAATAACAAAACTTAAAAATATACAAACATTTGGTTGTGTTATGAACTTTTTAAACTCAACTGAGCTTGCAAATTGATGAATATTGCTAATAACTAATTTTCACAAGTGCATTAAGGTTTCATAACATAGGCAAAACCATAATGCAGCACTATCTCAGTAAGCTATGCAAATGATTCTAAGAAAATCATTATGGATCTGCTATAAGAGCATAAAAAATATTTGCGATGATAAAAATTTTACATTTAATACAAATATACCTAGAAATGCAGGTTAATTTAAATTTTGCAAAATTATATTTGTATTTAATAATTCTGTGAGCAAAATTAAAATCTGGTGCACTTGAAAGGAAATGTTATGCATTTATTTTCTTCAAATAGATAAATTATCTAAAAGACATGAGTTTGTAAGTTGTAATAGGTACTGTTCAAAAATTACATCTACAGTTAGACATCTGTGATCGATTGCAAAACATCTTACAATAGTAGGATTTGATTTTTTGACATCATCTTAACATTACTTATGCAGAAAATAAAATATATATATATATTTAAACAAATTTAAAATTCTAAACAAATACTATAAAAGTAAAAAATAGAAAAGCAATTTAAATTCTAAAAAAAATAAAAAAGCCAAATAATTTAAAATAATTTAAAAATATGCAAACAGTAAAAGATTTAATTCTCGAACTAATCTACAATATCATTTAAATTCAGAAGCATAAGCAAATCAAGTGTAAAAATCTATCCATGAAAATAAATCTACTAATTTAATAAATTAAAAATTAAATTAAACAATTTTTTAAAAAAATGCATATGTGAGTGATCGTAGAGTAGGCAGGAGACAGACTTATCAAGGGGAAGTTGCCTCCAAACCTAACTCTCCAATCATTCAGTTCGTGTTAATTAGTTCTTTTTGTTACTTTTTGTTTCTTATTGGTTTATATGGATTATGTATAGTTCTTTTATAGTTTCTTTTTATTGATATGCATATTCGTGTAGGGGAAGTTTCTGTAGACAAGGATTTCTAAAATACATTGGTTTCTAAATTTTTTTATTATTATAAAAAATTAATTTTTGAAAAATTTAATTTTTTAAGAAAAATTTAATTCTTGACTTTACTTGCTTGTTTCCAAAAGACTTAATTAGTATTTTCCTTTTTGAACTTAATTCTTAAATGTTAATTTCTAAGGGTACCACTTTATTGGAATTACTTTTTGGTTTGACTTTTACCCTTGCCTGCATGAATGACGAAACACGAATTGAATGATTGGAGAGTTAGGTTTGGTGGCAACTTCCCCTTGATAAGTCTGTCTTCTGCCTACTCTACGATCATTCACATATGCATTTTTTTAAAAATTGTTTAATTTAATTTTAATTTTTTAAATTAGTAGATTTATTTTCATGGATAGATTTTACACTTGATTTGCTTATGCTTCTGAATTTAAATGATATTGTAGATTAGTTCAAGAATTAAATCTTTTACATGTTTGCACATTTTAAAATTATTTTGGCTTTTTTCCTTTTTTTAGAATTTAAATTTGCTTTTCTACTTTTTTACGTATTTGTTTAGAATTTAAATTTGTTTAAATTTTAAATTTAATTCCTTGCAGCAATGGCGCAAAGAATATTTAATTAAATATGTAATTTAAATTTAATTTTTTAATTAAACTCTATTCTTTTGAAACAATTATATATATATATATAAGACGAAACGTATGACAATGTTTTAATTGCCTTACATGCAATTTAAAAACGGATATGAAGCAAAAAAGAAAGATCAGGCATTAAATTTTATACTCTAGCAGAATAAAAATAAAGTTCTGAAAGTTTTTTTAACACACCACATCACACTCAGGCACATTTAATTAAAAAACAAAAATGTGGAAGGTGTTTCACATTTTTACCTCATTAAAATCAATGCTTGAATCATTACACATAACACATATTGTTGCTAATTCACATAGAGATTCAAAGTCCGAGCACTTCACTTTCTGCTCATTCAGATATCTGCAAATATATTTTACAGCATCACATTAAAAATATTTCAACATAGCAGAGGAAAAAGATTGATATTACTTAGCAAGCCGTACAGATAAACAGTAAGAAACTATTTTGAACATCACAGAACAAACAGATAAAATCTATCCATGAATAAATTTGCCCAAATTTAGTACCTTCTTGATTTTTGAAAACACAATGAGTACTTTTTAAAGAAAATTAAAATTTTCATAAAAACAAATTATCGGTATCAACAGTTCATTAGCAGTAACATTTTAAAAGAAATTCCTCATGTACACAAGTGGAAGAATCAGACGAGGGATAAATAAGGATATTTTTTAGTTTGATTTTATTACAATGCATTGTAAAAAATTACAAGAAAATGGGAGGAGTAAACTGCCTGGATCAGATGCTATCAAATTATCCTGCTGTCAGAAATAAGCAGAGATTATTTTAAAATATTTCAACATTTAATCAGGGTTGCCACTCAAACTGGAGAATGAAATTCCCAGACTTTCCCAGGTTTATCAGGTGCATTTTAAGAAAATTCCAGGTTATCTATGTAGTGCGCATTGGCTATGCCGAGAAGGAAATTAATTATGGTACTACTTGAAAATGCAAAAATTTGCCAATTACATATTACTACTATAACTATAATAGGGGTTGTTTTCTCCACTGAAGATTGAGATTAGAATTTTCCCAATCTGGATTAAAAAATGTCCTTTTTTTTGCAGACATTTTACAGATAAAAGAAAGAAATCTATTTAATGATATTTTTAAATAAATTCAGATATTTCATATTTATTTAGCAGCATACATAAGCAAAAAAATATGTGCATTAAATTTCGTGATAGTATGTCATCGTACTGCTATAATTAGTTTCAGGATTACACCAGAGAAAATTGCCTGAAATTTGAATGTATTATTAACTAATAATAAATAAATTTAGAGGAAGAAGAAACATTGAATGATATGAATAACATTAAAATAAAGTTAATTACTTAAAAATTGAATTACAATAATCAATGATTTTTTTGGCGAAAATAGTTATATTAAATGGTTAGTCTAGATCAAGGATGGGAAAATTTTTTGATTGCGAGCCAAAATATATTTTACAAAATTTTAAAAGCAATATACAAGTATTACAATTTAAATATTTTAATGAGATGAATGAAAGTGCGATTTCCTTTTTAAAAGTTCTTTATATTGAGGTTTGAACAGAGATGTACTGATTCTAAGGAACGGAGTTATATATATGCTCATCTGTCAGTCTACTTCTGAAATAGGTTCATAGTTGAAGATGCTTTTTCATATATATAAGATGAAGCACACATAGCACTGATTTTCTGGGCGTGAGAAATTAAATTTGGGAAACTTACTTTCGGTAATGATTTGAAAAACTAACTTTGGCATGCTTGAGATGATTGTTAGACTGCAACTAATTAATTCAAGCTACAAATCTTGCTTCACAACTTATGTTGAAAGACATGGTAAAAATATCCAATTCTTTTTGAATGAGACTGAAAGATTGAAATCTGGATTTACCTTCTTGAAAAAATTTTGTCATCCTGATAATATTTTTACAAAGACTTTTTGGATTTTGTTTCTTTCATATTCGGACATTGCTTTGTAACTAGAATTATGCTTAGATGTAAAATGACAGGAAATGTTATGTTCTTTGAAGACTGCTAACGCTTCATTGCAGATGAGGCACACTGGTTTATCTTTTACAACTAAAAAAATATTTCCAGGTCCATTCACCATTAAAAGCACGGCACTCTGAATCAACTTTACGTTTTTAGTAGCCATTTTGAGGTTGAAATACATTATGAATAACTCAAACAAGCACTAGCTAGGCTTTTAATAATTTCACCACTATTCACAATGATGCTATATGTCTGCAATCTTTCCATACACAACCAATAATATTAGAACTCGCGCCAAAAGAAAAACCCGCAAGCTGGAGCTTAAAAGTGTGCAGTCTGCCGCATATGAGGTCTAATTCACCTATACTGGATTTCCATATGTCTCCTCCCCGAAAATGAGATAATGCTTGTTGGCGCCAATCTACAACTATAACTAATAAAGAACTTCCACTTTAAAGCTGTCTGTGCTTTCTATAATAAACAACGAACTTCCGCTTTTAACACTTTATTGATTGAAAGCTGTATGTGCTTGCTATTTTTGCCAATTTATGTTTTGCAGAACAAAAATAGAGAAAGTAAAAAAGTCATCAGTACTTTCAATAAAAAGGAAGAAAAAATAATATTTAAACAAAATAGGAAATAATTATATAATATATAAATATATATTTCTTTTAATTTGCCTCGGACCGTCAAAATTCTCTCCGTAGGCCGGATAGAAACTTCCGGGGGGCTGTAGTTTGCCCATTCGTGGTCGTCTGCTCTGAAGATAATGACAGTGCTGACAGATCAACTTCTAGTTCATTGCGTGTCGCAACGCCATAACACAAAATAACGAAAACAAGCAGAGCGAGTGCGGGAAATCAATCGAGCTGGGAAAACAGCATGCGAAAAGTGGAGACACATCCATGCATGTGCAAATTTAGCTTCTCCGATTGCCCACAGCTTAAACCCCTTCCGTCTCGCAGGTGTGAATGGAACTCCTGTATTTTATTCCCTTATAATTATGCCTCTATGCTCTTTATGCCGCCGTCTGAACGCAGTTTTATAGACCACAATCCACCTACTGCAAATCAGAAAGAACCAAGAGGGTGGTGTTACATTTGTTCCAGAAAAACATTGTTAGGGAAAAAAGCGTGCAACAAAATGTGATACTGTTATAAAGAATATGATGTAGGACTATGTATTATCCCATGTTTTAGAGTTTATCATATTGTAAAAAAATTATAAAGAAATGCAGTTATTCAAGAAAAATGTAAGTACAATTTGTACATATTTTTCAAAGTTATAAACATGTTTTATTTCCTTATAATTTTACTTAATGTTCATTTACATTCATCCACTGCGATAGCTGTTCAGAGAAAACAACACTACATGCGGCGAAAAACAGAGGGCCGCTGAGGAGAAATTTTCAGGGACACGAGAGGGCGCCGAAAGGGTTAACTACTAGATTAAAATTTCTCTTCTCCCCTAAATACACAGACACTAATTCAAGATGTGACTAAAAATGCAAGGACAATATCAAATAAGTTTAAATTTTCATATATGCAAAATCGTGTGGCTTTTCAATAATAATAACAAGAATTCAATAATAAGAATTTCAATAATAAGAACACCCACATATCACAGTTTATGCTATGTACACAGTATTCGAGTGTTGACAGACTGATTTCAGACAAGGCTGCCAATACCACTGCAGAATATACCATTTAACATTGTCCTGCAACAAAACCAATCTCTTCTTCCTCTTACAGCAAGCAGATGGTTTTTAAGGCATTTGCACAATGATCACTGCTTATTGTCTGCCCATAGATGTCAAGTTGACATTCACAAGTGCAGAGTATAACCTGCTGTGCTTTGTCGTAAAGTGCCTTTAACACTGAGCTCGTGAAATATGAAAGCTATGGCCGTCCAACTGCTTTTTCACACATATCAATATATGATCTTCACAAAATCCAGTACAGGGTTGCTATATCCAATAACAGAAGAGATAAAAACTACTATTCAAAAATTTTCAATCAGCCCTTGTATGAATTACTTTAACAGAATGCATTACATGTGTACTCGCATGCATACCAATTTCCCATCTTAACATGCATGTGAAAGTTACATATTATCATTTTCTCTAAGAATTGTTTTGGAAAAAGAAACAATTAGCATTTACAAAAAAATGATTTTTTAAGCTGAATATAGATGCTTCTTGGGAATGAACAAGGCAAAATTATATTGATACAAAGGTCAATGCAGTACATATAAAAAAACAAAACTAATAAACTTTACACCACATAAATTTTTATAAATATATTCAAAAGAATACATATTAGGGTTTTGTAAAACTAAAAATATTCTACATTTCCCAATGGCTCATATTTAGAGCCAGTAACTTCAAATTCATGGAACATGATTTGATTAGTAGTTTCATTCGCTAAAATTTTATCAACTACTAGTATCTGTAAAAAAAAAAAAAAAAAAAAAAAGAAAGAAGAAGATTTTGATTAAATTATTACAAGAGAAGCGGTAATTAAAACAACTATACAGTTTCACATACAACATTTCCCACAAAATTTAATGATATAACATGGAGATAAATTCTTCAAATTACTTAAAAATACTATCTGCCACCCCTCTATAACATAGGTGAAACATCTGTTACTCAAATTCTTAAAAACCTAAATTAAATTACAATTTTTTTGAACTTGCAACTGCTGAATATTATTTGTTATATGAAAGATAATTATTCTTATATTTAAGTAATAATAAAAAAGTAAGAAAAAAGCAAGTTCTCAGAAACAAGCTGGCAAACAATGAATGGGAAAAAAAATAAGAAACCATTAAAAATAAACAGGATTAGGCTAATTCATTAGCTGAATGATTTATATATTTGGTGGCAGTTATCATAAATGCAATACAGCAAAGTAGTTAATCTGGACTCGTCGGGACTTCGGTGAATCCGGATTATCGATTTTCCGATTATAGATCACGTTTAAATCTCGTAAATGGCATCAGAAATTATAAATAAAAATGAAACCGTAATTATGAATAAAGAACCATTATGATCTAAAGGGTTCAAATTCACAAAAAAAAAAAAAAAAAAAAAGCTTAATATTTGTTTACTTTATTAAACATTCTTTCAATGTTAGTTTTAAGTTGCTTCGTTTTATATGATAATACTTTCTCTTTAATTTATAAACAGGCATAATTTTTGTTCAGTACAAAGTTCGCGTTCGGTCCATAATGCTGTGCAGAGAATACCGCTAACTTCAATCAAATTTTTAATTTTTCACTAACCTCTCGCACCTTCTTATGTTTTAATCCATTTTTTGGCAGAAATCCCAACTTTTTTTGACGGATATCGAAACAACTTTCATCTTGTAGATCCTTGGAGCTCCAGCATCGGAAATTTATTTGACATAATCAGTTCAAGTTTAACTTTTATAAAATTGCTCTTACAGGATAAAAAAAAGCCGCATCAATTCGAATTAAGGAACACGCAATCATCAAACATTACTGAAATAGATAATTAATAATTTGAGCTTTACGTCCGTTTACATTAAACGTTGACGCAAAAACGTATCCTATGCTTTCGCACACGCATATGTGCAGTCGTAAGGTCTTTGCCGCAAAACGCCTATGCACATGTGTCAACATGGCACATGCGCAGAAAGTTTTTAGCTTTGAGGTCCGGATTATAGATCATTCCGGATTATGGGTGTCCAAATTAACGACTTTTGACTCTATACTGTAAATGTGGAAAGTTTATGATTTTGTGGCCAACGAGGAAAATTTCATATCAATCTGCATTGAAAAAGTCATATAATCTCTTAAATTTAACTTAGATTCTACTTCATAAATATGGTAAAATAACACTGTCTCACCCTATTAACAGACATTTGATTTGTTGTCAGTGTTCCAGTTTTATCAGAACAAATAACAGATGTACAGCCTAATGTTTCAACGGATGGTAGAGACCTCACAATTGCATTTTTCTTTGCCATTCTTCGAGTACCTGTTACAAATATAAACATATCAAATGATCCAAAAAAGTTTACATTTTTGAAGCAATATAGTTTCTTAGAGCTAGAAGACTCAAATTACAATATTAAAAGAGAGGGGATATGATCTCTCTGGCACAATCGCCAGCTATTGCAACTGCTTCATACTGGCAGAACATTTTATGTTTCTATTATATAAGCTATTTTATTTTTAATAAAAGGATAGAAGTCTCAGTTTTATTAATCCTTTTTCATTTTAGGAAGGGGGAGTGAATTGCAAATTTCATCACATTGATTTTAAAAGCACCAAAGGAAGATGAGAAAAAGTTAAAATAAATTCTTCACAAAACATAAAATTTTGCACAGTCTGGTAGAATTCAAAAATACATACAATAATTTAATATCAAGTTAAATACTCTGTAATTTCCCCCCAAAAAACATAATTTGTTGCTTTGATAAATTATTAAAAATGAGTTTCAAATCTGGAAATGGAAACTGTTTTTTTTTTTTTAATATACCAGTAAAATAAATAATTCAGTTTTTATAACATACAGAACACACTTGGATGGAAAAGCTAACTTAACTATTAGTTGGGTACAGTTTGGTTAGCAGGACACTATACATAAATATTTAGCCCAAACAGACCGAGAAACAGGCATGGTAAATCTTAACAATATACAGCTTCATGGAAAGACTGGTTATTTTATTAAACCAAAAAAGAAGATAAGAAAGGATATTACAGAAAGCAGGAAATCATTCTAAACTGACAGCTCCAGGAGACAAAATTCTACCAGACTAAACAGCCAATACCAGATGTAAATACACCTGAACAGCTATCAGAAGTGGAATGCAGAAATTGGGAGATGACATGGAAAACTGGCACTGGAACATTGGCAGCTATGCTACTGTAGCAGAAGTTATAAAAATTTTAGCATCTGGCACATAGCTGTTTTGATTATCGAGTTAACATGTTGACTGCCCAACACGATATAACTCGTATTAGCGCTCTTCTTCAGGACGCCCAATACGAGTTATCTTGGAGTTTCTTGACTTGCCACTTTTGCACCGCTACGAGTTACTTACTCGCTTAGCACTTGTTTCAGCTGTACTGAGGCACCAAGTCGAAGCATATCTGTACAAATCAACTCGTAGTGAGATTCTGCGAAGAGCTTTGTCTAACAAAAGCCGAGATAATTTGCAAGACCCTTTTTTCTTAAAAAGAAAGAAAAAAAAAAAAAAATCTTGTAAACTTTTTAATGATTGTTACAAATCATAATTAAAGTATTTTTAATAATATGAGTAAATTGATTTGGCTTCTCGGACCGTCGAGAAGCAGTGCAATTCAATGCCAATTACACATAGCATGAGATGGCACATTTCATAGTATTTGTGCTTTCATTTGGTGCAACCCTGAATAATTACTGACAAGCCAAATTTTGTTTTTATGGAGAAGGATAAAAATTAACTGTTATAGCTGCACTTTTCCATGCATTTCAAAAAGAAAATTATTAAAATTTGAGACATGCCTTCCATAGAACAACTGTGCATTATTTTCAAAGTTATGGAATCCTATCAGTTAAAAAAAAAGTGCATTGATGGACATGTTTTGTGGTTAGCTGAATTTGGCTGACAAAACAGTAATAGATTGGAAGAATTGCTTACGGGAAGTTTGTTCTCGGAATAGTCTAAACAGAGATTCTGGTAAAATTAGAGGAACCAACAAAGAAATAGAAATCAATAACAGCCATTTTACAAAGTGAAAAAACAAAATGGATCAAATAATGATTATATATTAAATAAAAAGGTGTCAGTTCCTTTACAATTCTACAGAAACAACTGATACAACTTTGATGGGATCTCCATTAACTTTCTCAGTCAAGATAAAATAAACATGCAAGTACCATTAATTTTTATGAAGGAATGGAAAGAATTGCCACTGATAACTTAAATAATAAGAATACTAGAAATATATATTCAACAAGTGATATACTTTGTAAATATAATTTAGCATAAAAGTTTCAATCAGTAGAGATCATTAAAGAAATAGATAAAATTTTCAACAGATAAGTAGATCTTTACAATGATTTATTTTATATAATTTCTTTATGAAGTCTACTATGGACTCAATTCATGTCAGGTTCATGTAATTTTTTTTTTTTTTTTTTTTTTTACAAGAGTCTGACAAAAGAATTTATTTTTTGATGCAAATTCCAAGATTTGAAACTTTTCCTTCTTCCAGTTGACAATTGTGTATCTAATTTTAACTCTTAAATCCCTTCAAAAGTCAAGCAAAATATAAAAACAAAGCCAGCCTATATTTGCCAACTTAAAAACTTAATTTCAGACTTGCTAAAATTCAAAGGTTCTAGTTAGCTTCTTATATTTGAAAAGAAAGTTCTGATTATACTTTCTGAGCTGAATGTTCATTGAACTCCGTCTTTAACAATAAACAACATATCAATGCCAGAAAAAATTATCAAATGGAGGTTGCGTAAAAAGCTTTTTAATGATTATTTCAAAATTTATGATTACTGGATCAAATTCCCAGATTTCATCAAAATGCATAATGCTCACCATAAACACTAATTCCAATACAAAACTGAATTTAATTTCAATGTATCACAGAATGACATAATAACAAACAAAACTGCACAATGGACTGAAGACATTTATTTTTTAAGTTGCATTTGGGACAACATAAAAGCAATTTCATATATAACATAGTATGACACAAAGTTACATGCCTGGGTTCTGCAACAGCCATCCTACCAGAAATTGCTCATCAAAAATCAAGAGACAAAATTTCACGATAAGAAAAAACATAGTCTTAAGTACATAACAGATGAAACTACTCCTAATTTTGACAAAATACACTTGACTCTTAAATCATATGACTATATAATTTGTAAAATTCTTTCATATTTTAAAGATAACAATTAGTCATTCAATCATTATAAGGAATAGAGAATTTTTTTTCCAAAACTGATTAAAATAAATATCTTCAAAGCCTGAATTATTTTCAATACAAGACCATTGCTTTAAAGAAAATGATTACCTAAAGCTAGGCATGTAGTTATAACGGCTGGTAAGCCTTCGGGAATAGCTGCAACTGCTAATGCAACAGCAATCTTAAAATAATACACAGCACCCTAGAAAAATATGCAATTCAAATTAATATCTTAAAATATCAATTTTTAAATATATTTTATCTTTCAAAATAATACTATACTAATGCTCCAAAAGATTTATTAATAATTTCTCTTAATAACTTAATTGAAATTTAGAGTTTACACATCAAATACAAGGCAAGTCAAAATGAATATAGCGATTACAAATGGCTATAACTATTTATTGAAAACTAATTTATTTTTAAGATTAACACATAATGTAGAGGGAACTTCAAATTTTGTATATATGCGTCATAGATGTTCTATGTGACTTCCGTTGGTCACACAGACATGTACGCCGTAGTCCATTTCCCGCCATAGATTCCGAAGCGTTTATTCAGTCACCGGTGCAAGCGCATTACAAATGCGTACTTTGAGTTCTTCATTCTTCAATTGTTTTGGGCATGGGACGCACAAACCCCGTCTTTCACATAACCCCATAGAAAACCTAGAAATTACCTAGATATTACAAATGCTTCAGAATGAACGGCGTGAAATGGACTACAACCTAGATGTCCGTGTGATCAAGGAAGTTGCATAGAACATCAATGACGTATGTATACAAAATTTTGAAATTCCCTCTACATTATGTATTAAGCTTAAAGATAAATTCGTTTTCAATAAATAGTTATAGCCATTAGTAATTGTTATATTTATTTTGACTTACCCTGTACTTTAGAGATACAGTATACCCATGCCAAGTGTTGATTTGCAGAGTGCAATTTCACATATATTGGTTATTGTAAATGTTTTCATTTTACTTGTCTAATGTTTCATTCATACACAGTTTAATGTTCATTCATCAACATGGAATGTATATTAGCATCAGCTCTGGTTAGAACTACAATTTAAAAAAAATTTTCAGCCACCGAAAATGAAGTGGAAGAAATCATATAAATTGCAAAAGTGATTGATTGGTAGCAAAGATTTTTGTGATATGGAAGGGAGGAGTAGTAGTCAAAAAAATTTAACTTGCAATGAAGATCGAAAAAAGACGAACTAGATGATCTTGTAACACAAACTGACAATGAAACCAATGATAATGAAGAAGAGAAAACCCCTTTTATTTATAAAAAGTTAATCAAACTTTAAAAAAATCTAGGAAATGTCACATTTTGCAATGGAAATTTACTTTAGTTTTAGAAAACAAGAGGCTACTTTATGATAGACACTGAAAGCTGCAGTACTTGCTACAAAAAAATTTGCATCAGTCATTATCCCAAGCAAAAATCACAAGCTTTAAAAAAAAAAAAAAAAAAAAAAAAAAAAAAAAACAAAAAAAAAAAAAAAAAAATACTTGTGTCGTATACCTAAAATTATGCAATAATAAAAATCCTTTTGATTAAATTTTTTTCATTTTCCCTTTTAATTACATAAAAATTTAGGTTTCCTTAAATTACACGTACTTTTTTAATCTGCATCATATATAACACATTTTTTCCATAAAAAGTTACCTTTACGGAATGTGACTTTACTGTAAAGCACAGTTAATCCATTGACATAAGCCCCAAATTCAGCAAGGATTTATTCTGAAGCATTAAAATCCATATTGAGTTTTAACAGCATCTAAACAATGATTACTAAAAATTTCAATGCTTAAACAGCATATTAAAAATATGTGAAATTAAACTTATCTTGGGAGTGATGATTTTGCACATAATTAAAACGACACATATTATACATGGGAACGGTAATGAAAAGCTTTTAACCACGAACACACTCCAGAATAATAAATTCAGAATAAAATACAGTAGAAGACTGAATATCCATCCCTCTCAAGAATAAAAAGTTTCTAAAATGCCAGTGCTATTAATTAAACTGCAAAGCTTAAAATGATCAATTAAAAATCTTTTGTAATAGATAGCAAAATAACAGAGCAAGGGGATATGCCAGTTACGAGATAACTGATTGTTTAAGGGATAAAAAAACTTGTTGAAGTGAAGAGACGAATACTTACTATATAATTAAATTAAAACTTTGCTTCAACTGAAGGTACTCAGATGATGGCTTTGATTTTAGTAATATTTGGATATTAGTGATGATAATTCAGGATTTAACCCCTTCGAGCCGGGTACGAAAACGCGCGCTTATCGCGGAGGCTGTGTCTTCCACGAGCCTCTCTCCAGGGCCTGGGGCTTTTTTGCTACTAAGCCTAAATCCATGAAATTTCCGAAGTATCAACGCATTGTTTAATAATGCTCTATAGAGTATTTAAACGGCTTATGCTTTATAAATATTTTTATATATATACTTTAATTACCTAATTTCTTGTTTAAATGCATATTTTACACATTTTATTTTAATTACTCACCATTTTATGACTTTTAACATTATACATCTGAAAACTAAATATATTACTTAAAATTCTCTTTTCGTATGAAAAATTTTAAAACAGGGATCTACACACAGTCCTACGTTACATTCCTTGAACTCGTAATAACTCATTTGCCGTTTTGGAGGATTTTTCCGGGAATGTGAACAAACGAAGCATCGTCGTCTCATTTTCTTATCAGTCTCTTCTGAACAAAGTTTTGGAAAATGTCTTTCAGTTAATCTTTTCAGAATCAATATCAGAATTTCAGAATCAATATCTGAAATATTTTGCATCATTTCTGCTATTTCATGCTCTGTTAAACATTTTCGACGCTTCGACATTGAAACGGTAAAAACAGAAAAGAATTCACGTCTAACAAGATCTAATTATTTTCTAAAAACTGAACTGTAAACCGAAATACTCAACGCTTTAGTGCAATAAAACTTCTACTTACAGTAAACAACTACCACGTGCGAATAAAAGTGCGATTTAAAGAGACGTCATAAATCACGCCATTCGGAAACATTTAGTTCCCCGTTTGTTTATATAATCAAAAACACGTGTATGTGAGTCATGCTTCTCTCATTTCGAGTAGAAGGAAGGTCTAATGTACATGTATCTGAAACCATATGGACATACAGTGCCATCTTGTGGCAGAAATTATAGTTTGAAAAACGTTCCAGGGTACTGGCACAAATATGTGACAGTCGGTAGTAAACACAAAAATGCTCTGGCACGCCTGCGTGTCGGCCGGTAAGTGTGTTCGTTGTTGTCATGTATAGGTAACAGTCGGCATGAAGGGGTTAAGCAAGCTACCTTCTTTTTATTCACTATTACTGTTATAACAAATGCCAAATACACAGTTTGCTAGAAGTTGCTAAACTTATACCTTAACTGAAGATTAACCATGTGTTGTTTTAACTGTGCAAAAATTTAAAGTTTTTTTTTAAACTACCGTAAGTTCTTTTCTGTCACAGCAAGATACCGAATTTTAAATAAAAACTCAACTTCTGTGCAAATAAAGACCCTTTTCCACTTTTGTGTATGCAATCAGCAAACGAATTCACTTTGATTGACATCTGCAATCCAGTGACGGATGACATATGAATGGAGTTCAACAATGTTCAACTTCTATCCGTATGTCTGCGGGAGTGTTGGGGTCACGTGGTAAAAAAGGAGCAATCGGGTGTCGTCACCAAAAGCTAATGGCGGCAGAAGTAGCGATGGATGCTGGATCAGGGAAAGAATGTTTTGCTAAGAAATACTTATTATTTCTGAATTTAAATTATAGCAAGAAATCTGCATACTGAAAAAGACAGAAATCAACTGAATTTAGTTAAAAAAAGAAAAGAAAAATAAGAAAACTACAGTAGTAGTTTGCAGAGAGCAGTGATTACTGTCAAGAAAATCAGGTGCACAAAATACAATTTCAAGACCATGAAATAGCAAAATTTGTCCTTACAATTGTTTCCTAGTTCTGCATACACATTTACTTTTAATGAAAATTAACGTCTGACTATATCAAACTGCTACAGCAAATCAGATAAGGCATTAAAAGATTTTTTTTTTTCTTTTGAAACAGGTAAAAACTAAAACGTTATAAATTAAATTTTAAATAGCTTTTAAAATAATCTTTTAAATACTACCAGTCATTAAAAAGTATGTTAAATTTGTATTTCTCTATTCATAAATATACCTTATTGGCTAACATATATAGCACCGTCTTTCACTTAGATATATTTTTATCAGTCTGACTAATTTCAATCGGAACGCAACTTTAAAAAATTATGTTTTTGTATGAAATGCCCTAGAAGCCGAAGAACAAACACCGGTGAATTTTTTAGATGATAGCACATTGAAATAGGACCACAAGATTTAGTTTTAAGAAATCATGTACTTGATGATGTACATAAGCCAAAATTGTTAACCACACCAGTTGTTAACCACACATAGCGTTGTGGTAAAGCTGACAGAAGTGAGAAGTGTCTTTTGGTGTGGTGAATTCAAATACCACTCTTTTTCCACCCTGTTTGCAACTTTCTTAGCTCCGTACTCCAATTTGATCTATATTTGTGTTTTATAATTTATTTCTATTATTTTTGTGCATTAAATATAATGTTTTATTTATGCTCTTATGTTATTAAAGTTCCCCCCTCAAGAATTTATTTTGAAAGTTGTAACATAATACAAATATAAAGCATACTCCCTGTACATATATATACATATTTTCGTTTCACTTTTATGTGAATGCACATACATGTGCTGAGACTTTGAGATGTTTCCAGTTCTAATCTTTCATCACCAATTAATGTGAGACAGTCTTAATGCCCTAAATATTTTTTAATAAAACATTTTTTAAAAAACTTATAATTGCTTTAATATTCAGTCCTCTCCAGCTGAAGCAGAGGAATTAATTAATTAAATATTTCTATTCTTCTTTACCTTATGTATGTATAGATATATAAAAAGAAAAAGCTTATCTTTATAACTTCTTCTATAAAAAGATATGAATTTAAAATTTATAAATTAAAAACAATATTTTTGGGATTATGCATATAACTACGCATAGTGCATTTTAAAACAAATGAGATTTCTAATAAATTATCCAGCTATGACACTTAAGATTGATGCTAAAATTTTATATGCTGTTTCTCACGAATGTGGATATTTAAAAATATACAATTCAGTGTGCAGTCACGTATTAAACAAGCATCAGATTTGTGTAATATGTGAATCTTCTTACAGTTGCTAGTATTTTTAAAGTAGCAGCATTTTAAATGTTTAACATTTTTTTTATTCGTTTTAGTTAGTTAATTACATATTTTTTTATATGTAAGGCTTCTAAAAACGCCTATATAAAAAGGATTCACAATATTACAAAAAATCTGCCTGCTTGTAAACGGTACGCCACTGAGATTGTATATTTTTAAAATATGCCACATTTCGTGAGAAACCGCATAAAAATTTGGCATCAAGTTCTTCAGTGTCATAGCGGATAATTATTAGACCTTGTATATCTATATCACTGTCACATACTTATAATGTTTGTTATATTAAGGCCTGAAATATGCCGCCATTTTTTTAAAGAAATTTATTGAATCGATTGTACTGTTATCAGTATCTCGAAATGCATCCCCCAGCTTTAACACACTTGCTCCAATGCGATTTCCGTGATTTATATGTGTACTTGAAGTCCGTCACATCCTTAATACTCTATCGTAGTTGCTTGTGTTTCCAGGGCCCCCAAATGCTGTCCTTCTGGAAATTTTTTAATCTTCGAGAACAAAAAAAATGTCAGGTGGGGACAAATCAGGACTGAGCAGCGTAAAAGTCTCCAGTGCCGTTTTCTCAAGTTTGAAACAAAAATTTGCATATCGCTGCTCGAGTTTTTTCTCATCTTGATTTCGACCGAGCACTCGCAGAAGGGTTCACTGATCTTACCACCAAAATCCTTTTAGTTAATCTATACTTAGTATTGGTTTCTTCACTGTGACTCTCCAGTAGCTTAGAGCCGACTTATGTTGGTCGTGCTGTGTTCCCAATACTCCGTCCCCCTTCAGTGCAAGCGTCAATGCTATGCTATGGATAGCCGCGGCAGAAGAAAATGGGCGCATTACTTTCGCGACAAACCCGTATATTCAGCCGATTTGTGGCAGGGTAAAATTAGAATTTGTGTTAGTATGATTCAAAAGTGTCCGTAGGAAATGCATATCTTCATTGTTTATTAACCGTTAATATGACAAAAAATGTCTTCTAAGATAAAATGCTATGAAAATAAAATATCACAGTGGTTTACGTAGCCTTCTCAAATGTGACATGTACATGCACATTTATTTCTCATATAACTAAAGCCCTTGTTAATTCTTTGAATGTTGGTTCTTGAAACTTGCTTACTCTTCCTTTAACGTACAGCCTGCTGCAATAATAACTGCACCTGGAAATTGTTGGTTGTATGGTTGTAAAGAAAAATGCATTTTTATATTTGTATATTATCAATTTTATAGATAGTTGTAAAATTTTAAGATGTTAATGTCAATTATTTTTATGAAGACTATTTTCCATTTTCGTTTGCTTTTAGATTTTTTTTAGTCTATATAAAATAGAATATGAATAGAGCCATACGGGGGTTATCAGGGTCTTTTAAGCTTATTATGGATAGCCGCGGCAGAAGAAAATGGGCGCATTACTTTCGCGACAAACCCTGTATATTAATCCAGATTTAGTGCAGGGTAAAAATTAGAATTTGTGTTAGTATGATTCAAAAAGTGTCCTTAGGAAATGCATATCTTCATTGTTATTAACAGTTATATGACAGAAAATGGTCATTCTAAGAATAAAATGCTATAAAATAAAAATATCAGTGTTTAGCCTTCAGCAAAATGTGACATAGTTAAACATGCACATTTATTTCTCATATAACTAAAAGCCCTTGTTAATTCTTTGAATGTTTCTTGAAACTTGCTTACCTTCTTCCTTTAACGTACAGCCTGCTGCAATAATTAACTGCACCTGAAATTGTTGGTTGTATTGGTGTAAAGAAAAATGCATTTTATTTTGTATATTATCAAAATTTTTATAGATATGTTGTAAAAATTTTAAGATGTTAAATGTCAATTATTTTATGAAGACTATTTTCCATTTTCTGTTTGCTTTTAGAATTTTTTTTAGTATGTATAAAATAGAATATGAATAGAGCCATATGTATCTGGGTCTTTTAGCTTATTTGGGTCTTATCTAATTTTCCTAAATTAACTTCGCCACAGTAATTGGAAGTCAATATTAATGCCATATACCAGTACAGCAGATGATCAAATGTCAAGGAACTTTAAACCCAAGGCTGTGGAAATTTCCTAAATGAATATAAAGAAAACAAAATATTGCAAATGTATTTCTGTTTGATATTTTGATTTATTTAAATATGTAACAGTTTTCATCATTCTAAATTCATTTTTTTACTATTAAGGCCTGTTTCCATTAGTGCGTTGTGAAGCGCAGCATCATTGGGAGAAATACATACGGAAGTTCGGTGGTCAATTGCATTTATTGCCACCAAATGTCTCTGCATTTAATGTATGGGATTCGGACACTTACGATAAATTCGATGTTATTGGAAAATTTTATTTCTGCTTATGAACTGTGAAAGTAAAGCACGTTAGCAATATTTAGATAAGAAAGGTAATAATGTATATTATGAAAAATATACAATAATATTCTAATTCCATAGAAGCTGAAGAATTTTTAAAAATTTCTTTGCGTTTTTAGAAGCCTTAAATATAAACAAAAATATGTAATTAAAACTAAACTGCAAAACGAATAAAAAAAAAAGTTAAACACATTTAAAAATAGCTGCTACTTTAAAAATACATAGCAACCGTAAAGAAGGATTCACAATATTTACACAAAATCTGCCATGCTTGTAAATACGGACTGCCACGTGAGATTGTATATTTTTAAAATATGTCCACATTTCGTGAGAAAACAGCATATAAAATTTTAGCATCAATTTCTTCAGTGTCATAGCTGGATAATTTATTAGACCTTGTATAATCTATATTCACTTGTCACATGCATTATAATGATCACCTCCTCCCCCACAAAATATAATGCATAATAAATTATTACTATCATATAATAGCTAACAAATGAATGCAGAAAATCTCAATTTAAAGCTAAGAATTTCTGGTGCCATAATATATTTAAAAAAGCAATTTTAAAATTATTAGAATTTTACGTAAAGAATAAATAATATTATTCATTCAGATATTCTCATGACAGATTCAAGTATGAATTGTTTTAAACTAAAAAAAAATAAATATATCTTGTCTGTATTTTATTGGATACCATAACTTCATTAAATACTTATAAATCACTAAGGTTTTATTTTTAATGCACAACCAAAACACAATAGTGTAATAAATACAAATGGTATAGATTAACTAAAAGGTGTGGTGTATTTAATTATGGCAAAGCACACTAGGGCTATCTGCCTAAGGGGAGCGATGCCTTCGTGGAGGACTTTCCAAGGGAAACTGGCTCGTATACACGTTACACATGCGGAAAACCACGAAAACACCCATGCAGCCAGCCTGTTCGCGGGATTCGAACCTCGGACCGAACTACCAGTATTCAGCGACTTTACCGCTCGGCCGCTGGTGGGCCGATTAACTAAAAGGATTTTTGGTGGTATGATATTTATTGGTGTATTTGATTATGCTAAAGCATGCAAAGGCTATCTGCCTATTAGGAGGGACACCCACCTTTAAATTTATTTTAAAGAAGGCTTTCCTAAGGGAAACTGTCTCGCATCCACGTTAGACACACGAGAAACCAAGAAAACGCTCTGCAACCAGCCCATTTGCCTGAAATTGAGCTCAGGTCAAACTAACAATGGTTAACAACTTTTACTGCTTATCCACTAAAGGAGGGATGATATTAGTTGAGCACTTGAGGATTTTAAATATATGAAATATCCAACTGAAATCTTTTTAAGGAAAACTGTTTCATATTCTTCTTATGAAAAAATTACCTGCACCACAAACTACTTTTAAAAATCTGTGTTACTTAAAAAACAAGACAAAATTTAAAATCCTAGATAGGCTTTATTACATGTTAATATCACTATCACAGGCACATTGCCAAGCAAATTTAATCTTTATCAAAAAGTAACTGCAAAGTAACTAAATTGAGAACAAAATAAAAAAATACAAGTTTATTTATATGAAAACAAAATATGAGTTGTTCATTTATTTCAAATTTGGTATTCAATAAAACACATTCAATATTATTATACTTGATTTTAATTTCTAAGAGCTAGAACATGCAAAAGTTTCAAAACTACTATACATTATACAGCTTTCATTTTAAATTAAGCAGAGAAAATGTTTCTGCAATACTAAAAAGTTTTCTTTTTTCCCTAATGAATTATTCCAAATTCTGCATAGTAATAAAAATATTTCCTAAAATTAATATGGAAATGCTAATGATACCTTAATCCAAGATCCTCCATGAGCTGGGTCGTTAAAATGTCCTATGTTAATTGCCCACACAGCAACACAGATGACAGAAATTACTTTAGATAACTGTTCACCAAATTCATCAAGTTTTTGTTGTAAAGGTGTTCTCACTTCTTCTGTTTCTGACATTTCAGTACGAATTTTTCCTATAAATTTAAACACTCAAGTTTAAAAAAAAAAAAAAATTATTATACATAGCCAATAAAGAGATAATTTGCATTCTGCATTATACGTTATGAAAAAAATATTAAAAATTGGTATAATGCTTATTTTTTAAAGACACATTTAACCACTACTAGACATTAAACAATATAATTTCCTTATACTGTTGATAATTAAAAAACAACTTTCATGGCACCCGAGTGGAAATCTAAATTTAGGCATTTAAAGCACAACAAAATAATATATTAAATAATTAGTGCAGTTTAATTCTAAAATGGAATGTATTTAGCATTTTGGATCATCCCATTTTCAAATATAGATCACTTGATTCCAAAAATACTTTCCACACATTCCTGGAAAATATTACAGGACTGGAATAAATACATATTTATTACGACAAAGGAAAAATCTAAAGGGTTAATGCATACCTATTGCAGTTTCTAAACCAGTTCCTATTACAATGCCCCTTGCTTTACCAGCAGCAATATTTGTACCCTGAGAAAATAAAACATGTCAATTTCCAACCTTTAATTTTATTAAGAGAAACTTAATTTTAAACAATTTTTATGCGCAATGAATATTTTTATGCCTCACCGAGAAAAGTAAATTCTTCTTATCTTGATTAACAGCTTTAAAATCTCTAATGGGATCCGTGTGCTTTATTACAGATACAGATTCACCTAAACAGACAATCATATATATAAAATTTCTTTGATTAAAACAAATGCATAAAAATAAATTTCTGCACCAAAAATTCTTTCTATAAAACCTAATTTATAACATTATTAGTGCTATTTTAAATTTTATTAAAAGTATCAAAGAAATATATAACCAAGGAATTTTTTTGGAAGGGGAGGGCAAATATGAAATTATGTAAGCAGAGTGTACCAGTATTTCTCATAGTCTGGGTAATCAGTTCCACAATAAACCAGATCACAGTTTGTGTTCAACAGTACAAAACAATTTCTGTAACTGTCTCAAATACTTCCCTTCTTTTCTGATTTTCTTCATTAGTAAATCTATCATTGTTACAGTCACATAATGGCCAATGCTAACGAGATTGCCATGACTCAGCATTTCACAATGTGAATTCATCAGTTCCACATTTATTAAGTCTCCTTCATTGAATCCTGTTTCATGCCTAAGAGCTGCAATTTCATTAAAACAGTTAGTTAAACCCAACAAAAGTGATTGCACAATGAGGCAAAATTTCTATCCATATAGCTCACATACTTAATTATGCCAGTTGCTCCTATGACTTGAGAATATTTTCAGCTGCATTTGTTAAGATAGATTTCATTCTGAACAATATTAATGAAACTGAGATATAACTCTTGGTATATAGTCAAATAACCACTTTGCTATTTGTCAGCAAGTAAAGGCAGTGGCATTTAAGTCCCCGTAGCTTCTCTTCCACAGAAAATTTTTGGATCGTTCCTCATGCTGCCTACGGTATATGTGAGAAGACACATGGATAGATTCTTGAGATTAAGGATTAGATACTGGAAAATATATAATATTCAACCATAATATGAAACTTTAATAAAAACACACTTTAAATTGTATTAAATGAAATCAACTGCATATTGAATGAAATTGGTTGCAATTAATTAGCTGTATTAATTTTAAAATGCATTAATTAAAACTGTTAAATGAGAGATTTCTATACTATACTGGATATACTGTCATGTAATCTGTTATCCAACAAAAATTTGACCACAAATGTTATCCAGATTCTCAGCTAAGCTTATCACTAGAATTAAACCCATCCTAAGTACATACATGACCATGTCTTTATTTGCTCTCTGGAAGTTATGTTTATGCATAAAAGAAGCTGTTGAATAACTTATTTTATGTATTAGAACAAATAAAGAGTTAACAACTGGAAGAATAATCAGATGCAACGAAATATTCAAGCCGAGTTTTTCAGAAATATTATAGCACTCATGGCACACCTTTTAAGAGTAATAATAATCTGCATTTTGGAAGTCAAAAAATGGTTTATTCTAATTTTAAAAAAGGGAGGTAACTTATATCCGAATACATACACACAATTTACTTGACCCTTTTTTTCATTTGTTATATGGATATTAAAAAAATTTCGGTTCACAATTATTAAAACAGTAAAAAAACTAACTAGAGCCACATAGTTCAATGCAATAAAACTTTTAAACAAAATTTTGGTTAAATAAGAAAAGTATATTTTTCTTCAAAAATGCTACTTAAGTGTCTACTTGTTTTTTAAGCCATTAGATATTCTTATTATAAAAATATTTTCTTTCAAATTAAATTTATGCATTGATATAAAAACAGAAATCTACTTTCAAATTATATAGCAAGAGTAATCAAATGTACATGTTAATGAGGAACACAACATAAAGCACACCATATAAATGCTAAATTAATTAGCAATTTAAATATGATTTACTTTGCTCATTCTAATAATTACAGAGAGTGAGAGGAAATAACTTACCAGTTAATATAGACTGGTCAACTCTTAGCGTAGTAGAAAATATCTGTAATAATCTAATGTCTGCAGGCACTTTATCTCCAACTAAAGTAAAACAAACACCACAGTGATTTATGAGTTAGAAATAATTGCACAAAATTTTGTATTTTGCCCTAGAAGTACCAATTTAATAAACACAATTCTGGTTTGATAAAAATTTCAACTTTCTTTTTTAATTATAAAACCAGTTATCAGAAAAAATAAATATTATGGTTTTTTAAACTGAAGTAAATTTTCTTCTACTCATTTCACAACTACTGATATGAAGTGACTTTGACTGAAGCAAATGTGTAACACGAGAGGCACTCCGATTAAGACAATTTTTTGTCACTTGGCAAGTACAAAAGGAATGGAATTCTTTTTAGAAAGATATTTATTTAAAGCTATTAATTTATTTATTTTTACAAATCAATCTTATTTCCTTCAATGTACTCTCCATTGCATTTATTATAGTTCTCCAATCTGCGATTTTGTTCCTGGAAAAACGTTTTTGTCTGTTTTGATAGTTGGCAGCTATTCCGCCTTTATCTTGACTCCTTTTATGTTGCAAAATCACAGTCCTTTCACATTTGACTTCATTCAAAGAAACAAAAAGTTGACACAAAGAGTGAGATCAGGTGAGTAAGGATAAAGGGACAAGGGAATCATGCCATTTTTCCCAAAAACTGGTGCACTGAGATAGCTGCATGAGGCGGTGCCTTGTTGCAGTGGAAAAACCAATTCTCTGGCTGCCACAAATCCATCCTTTTTTGTCACACTGTTACACAATCTTTTCAGTACCTCTAAATACAAAACTTGATTAATCTGTTTGATCCCAAATGAAGCCTTCATGGATGCTATTCCCCCTTTCCTGACCTTAAGCTAACTGAATGTATTTTATTTCCAGTTTGTGAAGAAAATTAGTAGAGCTCAATCCCATTCTGCCATTTTGTCCCACGTATTTACATTATTAGCTGTATTGTGTCTTACTGATATGGCTAGGACTACAAGATTTCACTTTATTAACCTGTGATAAACTTCTCAAAAAAACATGCTAATAACTATACAAACTTGAAAGAGCACGATAATAAAAACAAACTAGATAAACTTCACACACTTGATGATAATTTCTTGGAATATTAAAAAAGAAAGCAAAATAGATTTGGGTATGCTAGAACATAAATATAATTCATTATTCATTCATACCATGCAGCGTCAAAAAATTACATTGTACTTGCAAACATTTTGAGCAATACCATTAAAATTTGTAATCTAACAATCCTTATAACCTAGCCTAGAGATTCTATGTATGCATTTCATTCTCCAATATAGTAAACTACAGTGTTTGATATTTCTGTATGTGGTTCACTACAGTTTTTTTATTATGACAGATCATATATCCACTAGTGAATATATTTACATAGCAATTATCCAATAGTGGATACATGTGATATCACATAGCAAGCCTGCACTAGTGTCTAGATGAGACACAAGGGGTTAACAGTCTAATCTGGTGGAATGAGCTCCGAATGCACTATTCCCCTTCACATCAAACATCTGATGTGGACACCCTATGATTTCCTTCTACAGCCTACTAAATTATACAGATTTTTTGCTGTATTTCATATAAACTTATTTCCTTGAATTTCATTAGAAATATATCTCTTTTTATTAACCCTTTGATGTGCATGATATTATTTTTATAATTTTTTTAACTAAAACTCTAGAAATTGAATACAATGATCCTAGAGACAAGTAATATATGAATTTAAAAAAAATCTACTCTCCCCATTGTTCTGTGGGTGGTGGTTGCACTGTCAAACCAGCGCACGTCTAGGACTTTGAAACTTACCTCTTTCCACGCACGCTTCGAATAAATGACGAAATTTACGAATTTAAAAAAATGTATGCAAGAATTGCATTATATGTAAATTTTGTACTTATTTTTACAAAGTAAATCATCAGAAAAAATTAAAAAATAAACATTTATGTATTTTTTCTATAGCAGTGAAAATACAAGTATCTACATAATAAGGACGTTTGGATAAGTGGATAAAAAGCTCAGTAAAGTAAGGATTAAAAAAACTCAAGTGTTTAAAAAAAATTCAGTTTTTTTTTTTTTTTTTTGTTTTTTTAAATTTCAAAGAATAAATTTTTTTGTGGCACTGTTCAAAGCATGTTTTGCCTTTTGGTGCACACATAGACCCATATTGCATGTTTCGCACATGTACCTCATTGAGGTATGAGTGAGGTTTCTTCCTTGTGCTACAAAATGTACACTGCCTGGATCTACATTTCACTTGTTTAAGTCCAGCGTTATTTAATTTCTTTTCATCTGACACATGAAATTTGTGCTTTTTTTATGTTAATGGGGTGGCTTTGGTACGGATCATTCGTTTCAAATTCATATTCATTTTATTCATATTTTGTCCCAAAATATTTAGGAAATATTTTGTCCCAAAATATTTAGGAAATATTTTTAATTTAAATAAAACTTTAACATTAACTTTAAACCGCACCAAATAATTTATAAAATCACAATACTAGCTTGGGAAGCAAGTGTGTCAGAGAAAAATCTCTGGGAAAGAAAGACTTTTTCTTTGGGCAGGTGCATGTATTGTTTAGTAATAAAATAACTCTGTGGCTTCAAAGCCCCTTATCCATATCCGAGTTAAAATAAACATTCCTATTTGAAAAGCAAGCAAACGCCATTGTGAAGAGCAGTGGTTTCAAGGCGCGACTACCGAACCTTTAGAGTAGTGATTCTCAACATTTTTTTGTTGTGGCACACTTTTAACAATTTCAAAATTTGGCAGCACACAGAGAAAAAGATAAGAAAAATTGTTTACTTACCACTGTGTAAAATAGTTTATGATAATAAATTTGAATGCAAAATAAAATATGCACTACAAAAACAGCAGTACGTTTATTAAGGGATTAATTACAAGTTAACAATAAGAATACTTTTAATGAGAAATTTGAGCTTGATTTTTTTATAATTTCATTTATATTCAGTCATAAAAATGACAATGCTACTCTCATATTGTTTTCTACATTTAACAGTTTTGATCTTTTTTTTTTTTTTTTTTTTTTTTAGTCCAAAGGGATTTGAATCCCGAAGGACTATTAGTTTCGTTTTGGCATTTTGCGTTGGACTCATAAATGTCGGGTTCACTTTTCAAACTGTTGCCACAAAATGTTAGAGTCCTGCATTATATTTGAAGAAATTAAATAATGAAAAATCTGCATAAATGTATGTATATTTCTCGCATTGTGATAAAACAACGGTACATAGAGTCATCGAATTTTGAATAACGTAATCCTCCAACGAATATGAGCATGTGGAAGACCAAATTTGAAATTTGTTTTATGATCGATTTCCTATTTTTTAAAACTTTGAAGAATTTTTGATTAACAAACTCAAGGATTTCAAAGCGAGCAATGGCAACGTTGTGCAGAAAAAACATTTTTATCTCCAGCGCGTGAGTCTCTGTATCGGAAATTCTAAAGATATGCTCGTTTTAAAACTATTTTGCGATATTGCTGTTGCACTGGATCTTATGGTTTAAGTGCGAGGAACATGATATTTAATAAAGAAAGGTAACACACAAAATGTTAAAAAACGCCCCTTTGGACGTAAATTAAAATCTGAAACATTTCAGATTTTTTTTTTTTTTTTTTTTTTTTTTTTTATGTTGGTTAATACTGAAAATCTGAATTTACACAAATAAGATGTAGAAAACTGTAATAATATTTTTAAAGCTCTTTTGGCCATCATGGGATAATAGCATCCAACGTTAATCCAAAATGAATTAATTGATTCTTCAGACTATTTTAAAATTTAATCTCGATTATTAGAAAGTGAAATAAGTCTTCCTCTTCGTTCAAAGTTAATTCAAATATTTCGGCACCCAAATCGGCTTGGATACCACAATTGGTGCACATAATGTTTTAAAAAACGAATTTTGCCAATTCTCATATGTACCATATACTAGGATTAAACCCATTATGATTTTTACTATATGCATTTCTAAAACTTTGTGGTACACTTTCAGAATTTGGTGGCACACAAAAGTGCTGTGGCACGGTGGTTGAGAATCACTGCTCTAGAGGATTGTGAGCATTGTGACACAATGCTCTAGTGGCTCAGTGGTCACACACTGAAACCACAAAGCAAATGCCATAAGTATAGATAGGTTTAGATATATATATATATATATATATATATGCAGTTTAATTATTGCAATTTTTTATTGTTTATGATAGAAATCATGATGTGCGATGAATAACTTTTGAAATTTAAAGTTGTTTATATTAATAAAAGGAAGTTATTTTGTCTCATTGAAAGCGAATTTTAAAAAGTATCCGATTTGAAGTACTAAGACCTAAAACCTGTGATTCTGCAGTCATTTTGTGTTATTTAGAGGTAAAAGATCAGTAATCAATTGATTTTCACTCAGAAATTCTGGAAACGAGGAGGAGGAAAAAAATTCAAAAATTGGTTTCAGGGTGCAACCACTGCATATAAAGGGTTAATTCAGTTCTCATTTCACAGCAAGGCAAAACATCTTTAAAAATTGTAAAATACAGAAAAACATAACTAGCTAAAAACAGTTAATAATTTTTTTAACAATTAATATTAGTTTCTAGACAAAAACAATCAATTCAGCCAACAGGCAGGAAGCTAGACTTTATTGTGAACAAAATTTAAAGTTTATTTTTCGTCCCAGTCAAAAAAACATTGAAGTAGTGCACTAACTGACTTAATTCACTATTCTACCAAGTTTTTAATGTAAACAAATGGCAGCATTCTTAGGCTTAGCCCCACTTAAACTTTTAAATTGTTCATAATTCTACAACTATAGCATACAGATTAAACTAAAGATTTAAAAATCTTAACTGGAAGTCACGAATAACATAATTCAATCACTTTTAAATGATTAGTGCAGAGCGGTGCAGAGCCAACCTTTGCAACCAACTGTTAAGAAATTTTATCTTATGCAGTGTTTTTTCTGTGTTAATATGTTTTAACACTCAAAAGAAGCAACAGATGGAAGCATGCACACACACAAAATCTGCATCAATTTATACGTGCTTAAACTTTGAAAAAAAAAAAAAAGATTAAAAATTTCAATTTTTCCCACTAGCTCCATAAAAATTGCATCTAGTTACCCAAGTATAACTTATGAATTTTTTATTTACATACTCTTATTTGTAAAATTACTAATATAGAGAGAAATCTTTAATGCCCTCTTAGAGCTAGCATGCCCTTTTAGAGTTAAAACTTTCCTATATTTTCTATTTACTAAAGTGTAATGTGATCTTAGGGCTAAAACAATCCTATGGATTTTCTGATTGCTAGGGTGTGTAATGTGATCTGTAATATGATCTTAGAACTAACATTTTCCTGTGTATTTGCTAATTTCTAGGGTGTAATGTGATCTCTGTGTTAGGCAAGAAGGGGAGTATGTTATAAGTTTGGAAAGAAGGTACTGCCCTTTTCTTTCAGAGAAGAAAAATAAAAGATTGAGCAGGAACTTTTCATTCTTTCAGACTCTTTTTCTAAAAATAGCTGTGTCTTTTTACTTTGTACTATTATGTAATTATCAGAAAGGCATCACATGCTTTCAAAAGTTTCATAATTTGTAAAACTATGTGGATATGTGATACCTATATTTTAGATAACTTCCACATACTATTTCTGATGAAAATACGAAGATGGAATGTTATAAATTTTACATTTTTAGCATTTACTTAGTATATTTATACATTTAGAATAACATCATATGAAATAAGATCAGAATAAATAGTATTATTTGTACTATATTTTTAAATTATGGAGTTTTCAGAAATTATATTTTATTAATATTTGACAAAAAACACAACTAATTATACTTATATGTATTATTTTGATGTAAAAATTAATGCCCAAAAATTCGCAAATTTCATGCTCTACATGGGCAGTGGTTTCACTCCTGAACCCCCTTCCTTTCAAGGTTTCCAAACTTTTTTTTCGATACATTTCCCATTTACAAAGCTCAAAGGTACTAGTTATTAATTAACTTCATTAAAGACTGAAAAAATTTCAATGTGCCCCTCAAAGGGTTAAAGCACAAAAAATAAAATAATAACTTAGTAACCTATAAGAATAAAAATACAGAGCTCACAAAGCCAGGTAACACAGTGGATGTGTATATATATATACACACATCTGGTGAAGCCAATTGCAACCAAAAGGGGAGATGCACAACTCCTTATAGCAGTCCCAAATACAAAATTTCAATATTCTAAGGCAACTCATTTTTGAGTTATGCAAGATACATACGCACATCCATACAGATGTCATAAAAAACTCTTCTGAATACATTTTAAATCAAATCCATTTTGAGAAAAAAAAAAGGAGTCCTTTATTCTGTCCATACGTACAAATGCCCTGTAAAAAATCCATCAAATTGTTTAAGAAGAGCGATCAAATGGATATTTTTGTTGAAATATGATACCTGAATTACAATACCTCCTTTACTTCATACAAAGAAGTAAAAAAAAGAGCACGGTCTGACTTCACTTAAAGTGCTTTTTTAGGCAAACTGATAATGGCATCTTCCATGGGCTTGACTTCGGAGTCCTAAGAATAGCCCCACATCTTGTCTCCAATAATGACCTTGGAAAGAAGGTCTGCATCACTTTACAGCTGTTCTTTCAAAGTGAACAAGTTTCCACTCGACGACATTTTTGCTGGTTTGTCAGAATTTGAAGCATGAATTTCTCAGTGACCCTTCTCATTGCCAAATCTTCTGCTGAACCAAGCCCCAATATAGCCCAAATAAATTCCATCACTGTTCAATGGTACATTGATGATATATATATATATATATATATATTTTTCAACATTTTCGTTCCACTGGTGAAGATGACAGACATGCAGAACAAGGTTTGTCATAAAATCGATATTTCTTTCTCGAACTAAGGAACCACTAATATACTCGAGTTTTTCCCATAGCACCATTCTTGTAAGCAATGCTTTAAAATCTGAACAGTCTGCAGAATTTTTCCCCGAGTATGAAACAAAATTTCATTGAACTATTCACTTAAATCAGCTATCACAAAAAAGAGCCAAAAAACTACTATAACGTATTAGAACCTTCTGAGGAGAAGCCACTGGATGCAGTGAAGTCTAAATGGTAAGGTCTGGCAGTGTTAAGCTTGCCTACCAGAAAAAATGTGTATTATAGTAGCTCTGCCTACCGCAGTGCTATTCCTGTTTTGTGAAGTACCCTCTCATATTAGCTTACAATTTGAAATATTTTGCTTCCTTACTTCCTTTCCTTAATGATGTAAGTATTATCTTAATGAACAGAACTTTATGAATACAGAGATTAAAATAAGTAATTAAAAAATATTAACTAATCAGTGTTGTTTTAATACAGCTCTTCATGTGCAGATACAAATGGCTGTGTCATTCAAAGGATTTAATATGGTCTTTTCTACTTATGCTGCACAATTCTAACGTGTGCTGTAGCATGATTTTTATTTCACAACAGTGCTAAAAAGGGGGAATCCAAAAAAGTTCATTTTCATTATATTATGCTCTTTCATATAAAAAAAAAAAAAAACACTATTCAGTTTGCTTATAAAATTTGTGCTATATGCAGGAAAAGCTTTTGTTTCTAATGACACAGTTTGGAGGTGGTTTGAGAAGTTTAAGCATGGAAATTTCACAACATCGATGATGATGCTCGCTCTGGACGAACCTCTGTAAACAAAGATCTACTAAAGTGAGCTATTGCTGAAAATTTTAAGTTATACAGTTCAGGAACTATTAGACAGACTAAATATTCCAGAAAGGTACATCACTATTTGAAGAAGATTAAGCATGTAAGCTGATGTGATGCATGGGTACCCTATACTCTAACAATGTACAATATGCTTACTCTTTCAGCATGTAATCCTTTGTGGAAATGAACAAAGAACTCATTTTTTGAAAGGGCACATTACTGGAAATGAGAAGTCTATACGATACAACATTTTTACAAGAAAAATATCATGGGGTAAACCAAACAAGCTTTCTTTAGTAACATCAAGAAGGGGGGCTGCATCCCATAAAAGTAATGCTCTGTGTATGGTGAGATTACAGAGAAACTGTATGTTATGAATTGCTACCAACAAATCAACTAAATCTGGAAATATAACTATTCCCAAACGGTAGGTTTAAGAACCAAAATTGAATCAAAATGCCCAGAGCTGATCAATCTTCAAGACCTTTGTCTTCCATCATGATAATGTTCAGCTCCACATCTGGATAAATATTACACAAAAACTTTATGAGATAGGTTGAGATGTTTTGTGCATCCCTTCCCAAATTCAATATACCTTGCCCCTCTTGGATTTTCACCTCTTTGAATCACTTAAAAATGAATGTCCCAGAGTTCACTTCTTGTGATATTGTCAAACAATAGATCAAAAACTTCTTCAGAAATAAACTTATGGACCTTTTAAAACAGACAGCAAAAAGTCATATAGTAAAACGTTCCTGATGCGCTTCCACTGAAAGTTTATGTTTTTGTACTGCTTTATTTGTATTTATCATTAAAACTGCAAAGTTTTTCGGATGACCCAATATATAAATAAATTATTTTCTACAACCTTTAAACCGATATACTTAATTATGTATTCAAAGAAAAGTGTTAACAATAAAATAGTATTTTAAATGAAAACATGTATACTCACCATATTTTGAAATGCTTCATAAATTAATAAAGAGCATTTTGGGTTAAAAAGAAAAAGAGAGAAACAGGAAAAAAGAAGACAAGGGGAAGAAAGTAAATGGGAGAAAAAGCATTACAAATATTGTTTTAATCCTAATCTTAACATATTGTGTTTTTTCAATAAGTCCCAAATTGTATAATAGTGACTAAAATCTAGTGCTCGGCTCTTAATCAAGATATTATGACCACTGTATTAATACACAGCTAATATGTGTATTAATACAGTGGTCGTACTATGTTGACAGTCTGTTGATACTTATTAATGTAATGAACTGATTAAATTGTATTAAAAACCAAAACAACTAAATTTTCATGTATTTTTAAAACTTTATTAAAACTTGGAAAATCAAAATAAGTTAATAAACTTTAATTAAACTCAATTTATATTACCTGCAATCTCAACTAAATCCCCAGGAACTATATCTTTTGCACGAATTCTCTGTACACCTGGTTTATCTTGCCTTATGACTTTTCCCATTTCAGGTTCATATTCCTTCAATGCTTCTATCGCACTCTCGGCATTTCGTTCCTATATAAAACATTAAATTTTATTCATAATCTAAACACCTTGGCCTTTCCTTAAAAATAATTTAAAAGTGCTATCTTCACTGCTATAATAACTACATTATATTTAATTTTGAGTTTTGATATCAAATACCAAAAGTACATATTAACAAATTTCTTTAGTGTTTAAGTGTGTCCAATATAGGACATACAAGTTTAACACATATATGATTAAAAGTAATTGCTTTTTCGGATATCAGAAAATAATGTTAGGATAAATTATTGTAAAATTACTCTCAATAAATTACCATAAATTTAATATATGACATTAAATGCTTGAAAAATTTTTCATCCAAATTGGAATTTTAGAAAACAGCAGCATTAAATATCTAAGAATGATATTTCTTCATTTAAAAATTAATGAAATGCAGTCTTTATTAGTATGATGAATATAAGTTTATATTAAATATATATATGAAGTTTATATTAAATTCCATGTGCAAATGAATTTTCAGTAAAAATAACCTTTCACTGTTTTAACCAAGAAATATTACAATGATCATTTTAAAAAGATAGACAATGTGTAATATAGGGAAAAATACTGAATCTTGCAAATGTTATGCAAGGCGTTAAAAATAAAAAATTATGAAACTTTATATTTTAAAAATACAGGACAAAATCTTGCAGCCTTTAACTAAATTAAGAAATTAATGTTATAAATTTAATATCCAATATAGTTTACATACCTGCCAGACACCAACAACAGCATTAGCTATGAGAATAAGAAGAATGACAAAGGGCTCAACAAAAGCTGTTATTTGACCTTCATGTTCTTCAAATAAGGCTAAGACCTAAGAGGAACACTTTTTAAATATTTATCAAAAAAGAATAAAATATTTTGTCAGTACAAAAGTTTTCATAATAATTACTAACATTCAATTGCCTCAATAGTTCTCTTCAGATGTTTAAACAACTGTAAAGTCCTTCTATGGAAGGACTTTTCAATTATTTTATCTCCTTTTCAATAAATACCTCAACCTATTTTTATAAAGCTAATAACCAAATTTTACACAAATCAAAACTGTTAAAGAAAGGCTGAGCAAAACAGTAATTTTAAAACAAGTATTTTTTAAACTTATAACAGCATTTTTCTCAAGGCACTCTTAGAAATCTGGAAATATTTCAAAAGGAAGATCCACAGATTACATTTAATAATCATAATATTCCCATCTGAAATTCAAAAATCTTTTGAAACGTAACTTATGATAAAATATTCAATACCTTATGAAGCTTAATGAATTATAATATGTAATTTATTAAATATGATATTGGAAAAGTAAAACACTGTACTTTTATTATGCTTGCTATTTATGCACACAGCAGAAAGAGCAACAAACTAGAACTGAATTTATATTATAATATATAAACATATATTATCCTTACTAATATAAATGTGAATATGAGTTTGTTTTGTTTGTTACACTTTCATGCCTTAACTACTTAACCGATCATCATGAAATTTTCAAGAAATATTTTTGAAAGATTAGAAAAGGCTATTAAAATGTCTTTTTCTGACTTTAATTAGCCGAGATATTAATCAAAAACTACTTTTTCCCTACATTTTTCAATTAGTTTGTTGGATTTTCCCTTATTACAGCGATTTGGCTACGCGCCAATTTATTTTTTCACAAATATCTATGGAACAGCGGTTAGTTGAATTTCGAGACATATATCCCCCAATTCCAAAAATTCATTGGAATCCATCGATACCATTCTCATCTTCGTATGACTTTAATCAGCTGAGACATTAATTTAAAACTCTGAAAACCTTAATTTGAATGAGACTCAATAGGGACATTTGGGATTTTTTCTTAGGTCTTCCCGTGTGGGTCCAATGAATTGGCGATAAAAATTATAATTTTTGATCTAATTATCCAAATTTCTCGAAATTTAGAAACTTGTGTCGCACTCTGAATGATAGGAACAATGGTAGTGGAACTGTTTTTGTTGTTTAATTATTTTCAGCTTAAATGCAGATGAAACAATACTCTGCTTGCTATTGTTAACTCTTTCTTGACAGGCTAGGATTCGAAAGCGACAGAGAGGGAGTAGGTGGTATCCGGTTGACCGGCCGTTGGGTTGGCAAAAAGGTCAAAGTTCGCAGATTTATATGTGGAAAATCATTTAAAAATTAATAACTAATTAACTTACCAACTTGAAAATATTGTCGACATTTCGACTTTCGTGATATACGTATTTAATGTTTTGTTTCTTATTTTTTTTAGAGATCTATTCATTCATGTTATATATTTGTTATTGTTGCTTGAAAAATTGCATTTACATCTTATATTTTTTACATTTTACTCTGTGCAATAGCAATTATCATTTTAAGTCGCTCGAATGTTTTTTATTTTTAAAAATAACCCTCTGTTCGGGCATAAATAAAAAATATCCGTGGCTTATAGGTATTCAAAAAAGGGCAGTATTTACTAAAATTTTACGCGGGGCATATTTTTAAAATTCACGCAGAGTTTTAAATTATTTAAGGACATCAACGTAAGCGAAGCCGCTTTGTACTGTATAAGCTAGTTATACAGTACAAAGTCCAAAATCCGGACTGGTCGGGCCTTCGGCTATTCCGGATTTGGGATTTTTCTGGATAATAGATCATCAATTTAAATCTGGTTAGATGGGCATGCAGAAATTATACAATTAAAAATATGAAATCGTAATTTATGAAATAAAGAACAATTATGATCTAAAGGGTATCAAAATTTACACAAAAAAAACTTAATATTTATTTGTTTACTTTATTAAACATTTCTTTCATATAGTTGTTAAGGTCTTCCACAAAAATTCAAAAAGTTCCTTTTTCTTTTTTTCTTGTGTCAATGCCATACTTCTCGCATAATTTTGAGATGGATAAGCCTTTATCCTTTTTTTGCAGCATTCCACGTTTTGTTTAAGACATCGAAACATGGTTTCGTTTGTAGATCCTTTGGCACTCAAAATTGAGAACTCTTTCGACATATCGAAGTTCAAGCTTAGTTTTTATAAATTCGTAAAAATAATAAGCTGATCAATTAGAGATCAGGGAGCGCGCAGCCTGCCTTATATCAGTATTTTTTTTTTTTTTTTTTTTTTTTTTTTTTTTTTTTTTTTTTTTTTTTTTGTTTTTTTTTTTTTTTTTTTTTTTTTTTTTTTTTTTTTTTTTTTTTTTTTTTTTTGTTGCTCTACTTGTGTTGTAAGCTGATTATATAGTTTAGTTATTTACTATACCTACGTTTATTTCTTGCACATGCTTCAAACTAATCCGAGTCCTGAATAAATAAACTCCCACATATACTCAAGGCTTTATCTAGGGCCGGTGCTCAATATCGCCTGGTGCAATCTCTACGGGTCCTAAATTCTCCTACAAATCGCTTTCCTAATCTGTATTTTCACCGCGACTAAACTTTGGATCCCACTGCTTTCCTTAAATCATAAAAACTTCTCATCCCTTAATTTTGCTGCTCAATGCTTCCCCAAATTCCAAAAATTTCGTCTTTCCTAAATTCTGCCATCTGGTGCCGACAAATTCTGTCGCCACTTCTAGATTTATGGTGAATAACATATCAGTTATTCTTAATTAAAATAGCACTAAATGTAATGTTTTGGCCTATGAGTTTCACTAACAAAATCTATTTTTAGCATACAAAAAGAAATTTTTGTTGAATTTTTTCTCGTCAGCATTTAAAAATCTATAATCATCATCACGCGTAATGTTAGCATAAAAGATTGCCATACTCTTGTATAAAATTACTAATATAAAAAAAGTTTAGTCGTCAGCACGAGTGATTTCTGAAGCTATCTCATGTATTGATAAACATGCAGTGATGAAAACAAAATATAATAAATAATGATTAGCCAGGTCGGAGTCAGTGATATAAAATAGGTGAATTTTTGTGTCTGAGATGTATGCCAAGTGGACACTCAGCTACGGAGCCAAATTATTAACCTCACAAATTTATGCTTACATGAGTGTTTTTCCATAACGAGGTATTTTATTTAGTGCCTAAGTGAAATTAAGAATCGGAATTTTTAAGTGAAAATCTCCACTTTTTTTATGGAAGGAAAAATCATATGCGCATGCATAAAGCATTAATAAAAAAAATGTTTGCGGCTTTGAGCAACGAGATATATACTGGTAGAGAGCGTATCTGCAACCTCCAACCAGTTCCAGCATTAGTGTCATGTGACTTATGGCCGAATTCCAAAAGTGTGGAAATATTTTACATTCATTTCTACGGGATGAAAGATGGTTGCTCTGCTTTGTTACATAAAATTAAAGAAAAAATGGCTATTCGCTGCAGCGCCTATGGATGTAAAGGTTTTGTAAAAGGAGAACCAGTAACGTTTCATAGGTAACTTAAAACTGCATGATTTATTATTTTATTTTCAGTATTTTTGTCATTTTACTATCTCTGTTGAATTGGTTGGAAAGTTTCAGCCATATTGTATAAGAAAATTGCCGCTGTATATGACATTTTCAGCATTTATTAATAGCATCAAAATGTATTAAATACTGCAACACTATTTACTGGAATTGCCCATTACAAATAATTGAATTTTGTATTATTTTTCCACGTACTCTGTTGAAATAGTAGCGCCAAATCGTACGTGTTTTGTTTTCGTAAACAAATATTGCCTGTGATAAAAAAAGGAAAATGCTATTATTATTATTAAATTATTGTGCGATAAACTCTGTCTCATCTACGATGCTGTTGGGAATTTACCATAATTGAAAAAATATGTGAAAATTTAAATTTTAAAAAAATCCTTGAAAACAGGCCTTAATACGTATTACAATGTGATTTGTTTTTTCTCTTTAGATGCAATGCATTAAAAATAAACGAGATTTTTTACCCCCTCAAATATTATAACAGTATTGCAATTTATTTTTACTATTTTAATTTTTAAATGTTATTCAAAAAGTAAAGTTTCCATTCTCAAATTTTTATTATTCAGTTTAGATTTTCTTCCTAAAATTATTTAACCTAAACATCTTAAACAACAGTGTAAATAATTTAAAGCGATTATTAAAAATACAGATAAAATATTCAAGAAACAAAGCATTAAGTCATACCTAAAAACAATTGTAAAAAATCGAATAATCTACTTCGAGATTATCTGCCGATTGCCAGCTGACGGAAATAAAACACACTCCCTGCCATATCAAAAGCACGCCACACCTGCGACGAACAACCTAAGCTATCACTCCCCAAGAGCACCAAGACCATAAATCACAAGGTATATGTTGGGATCTGGCTAGCAGACAAATTCCCTGTGGAATGAGCCGTCTACCTTTTATATACAGTCGTTGGCTTTGAGGTCTGGATTTTAGATTATTCCGAATAATGGATGTCCGGATTTCGGACTTTGTACTGTATTATAAGAGCTGAATTTATATCATAATGTATAAGAATTTATATTATAATATATAATATTATATGAACTAAATTTATATTATAATATTTATTTTTCTTTACATTAAGCATACTCTTTAAAAAGATGCATTCAATTTGGAATTCCTGTGGCTAAACTTCTCTTACCAATTTTCAGCTTTACAGTAAGATGTGCCCATGTGGGAGATTCACATAAAACTTATTTATTATTCATCTATTAGGTAAAAAATATTAAAACTATCCGAAAATTTTTATATCTTAAAGGTAGAATGTTTGTAAGAAATTAAGAATCTATACAGTAGAGTGTGAAAATGCTGTCTCCTTCCCTGCACTAAAAGGCACCGTTGAATGCTCTGTCTCAAGTTCCTAGTTAATTGTTAAAACACTTTTCAGTCAATATTAGAGATTCTTGATAATGTTTTACAATATGCAGCACATGATTTGAAATAGAGTATTACTAATGTAATTAACTAACAAATTGAATTCAAAAGGTTCAAACACGATCAGATTAAAAAATGCACATTTAATCATTTCAATACCTGAAGGTTTCAGCTTAAGTTATATAAAAAAAATCAACAAAATGAATCATAATGCTCATTTTATGAATTCCTTACTTCTTGATTTTGACATATTTCATACTTACAAATGATATTATTGCAGCAAGAAGCAGAATTTTTACTAATAGATCATCAAATTGTTCTAGGATGAGCTGCCATAAAGGTTTGCCTGAAATTAAAAAATATATGTTTTATAAGCAATAACAGTTCATGCATAAGAAAATAAGCATAATATAAAATACTGAGTAATCAATATGAAAAAATAAAATAACAAACGACAAATACTTAAAGAAGTAAAGGTTTTCATAATATTCCATAGCTTTCATTCTACAGCATACTCTTATTTCAGACCAACAATGCATATTTGTAGCATCGTTCTAATTATTAAATATATATATATATATATACATAAACTGGGAAAATGCCTAACATGCATAAAAATATAATGTTTTGTTGAAATTAATCATGTGCACAATTAAAATTTAAATAAAGTATGTATTTTCATATAGGTTTACAAAAATACAGTATAAAGTCAGAGATCTAAAACTGTTAGAATTCCAGAAATTTCCAGGTTTTAGAGTATCATTTTAAATCTAGTAAGATGATATGAAGACACAGCAGCACTGGGGCTTGACTTAATTATTTAGATCAGATAGAGAAATGCTAACTCCCTACCTTACCCACTGGCACATAATCACCCAAGGACCAAAAGTGCGATATCGTGGCTAATATCAATGCAATGTCAGTCAATTAACATATCCCCCAGCACAATTTCCCAGACAACATGTGTTTGAAAGTGACTTGCATATATTGCAGTTAGGAGAAAAATCCATAAATTGCATTTACAGTACACCTGCTTCTCTTTGCTGAGCATTATATTCTCCATTCCCAGACTTTGCAAGGGTGTCTTTCTTTTCCCCCTTACTTTTTTGTGCTGCTGCTCTGGAGGTTTAAATATTAGATCATTTGAGAAACTGGATATCTGGATTTCAGACTTTATACTGTGATAACCCCTTAACATACCAATTATTTCAGAAACAGTGTTTCAATTTTCATTTTTGAGCTTTTAAGATTTTTATGGTTCAACAGTGATAATGCTTACTCATATTCGAGGTTTTTCCTAGTAAACTCGAGCTTTTAGGTTAAGGGGTTTATCATATCTATATGCCAAACCAGAATTAAGATATTCCTGCAATAAATATTACTCAACATATTCCGGATTCTGGTTTATGAGCATAAAAGTGAACTTCACTATGACTTTCAGCAATCAGATACCACACTGAAGGTTATCTCTGGAAAGGAAAGTCTGGTGTACCTATGTATCAGTAAATACTGGATACCTGACAGTCTTAATAAAGAAAAAAGCAAATTAAATTTTTCGATAGTTCTTTTCTTCACTCAGGATTTGATAATAAATAGCAATGTTCATACCAACTCTTCCCAACAGTGTACAAAATCACTATTAGTTCTACATTTTTTTAAATATAGTATTAACAATTGCAAATTTTTAGGATAATCAGTTTTTAACTTCTTAAAACCATAATTAAAAAGTTATGAACTGATTGGCAACTTTGGACAGAAGTGTTTATTGTACTGGACAGCCAGTGACACTATTTTTTAAACATTTTATTTTCCTCTCTCTTTTGAGGACAGGCAGCACTGTTGTTCTTCCTATGCACACAATTATCTATTTTTGCTTTAAAAAAATCAGAATTGTACAAACTTGGCAATGTGTACAATCTCCGCACCACAAAGGTGTAGCTAGGGTTTTCAGCACCTGGGAACAACTGAAGATTTTGCGCCCCTTTCTCTGTGCCAAGAATGGAAAACATTTCAGTCTAAAATTTCGTAACATCAATTTGGCGCCCCTTGAATGCTGCGCCCAGGGACAGATGTCCCCCCTTGCCCCACCCTAGCTATGCCACTGCCGCACCAAAATCCTAAGATGAGAAAAAGGAAGAAAAAAGGTGCATGGTGCCTTTAAATGAACCTCATCACACTCTATGCACGCAGAGCTAAGTTCAAGATTTCACCAAAGGCAATAAAACTGCACTATGTGCTCCATCCCTATGCTAAAATACTGAAAATTCCCATAAGGAGGAACTTAATTTACAATCAAACTGGTCAAAATCAAAAAGGAAAACACTTTGGCAAAATGGCATATACCTAAGCTACCACATAATACTTTTGGCAACATGGTGCATTGCCTCATTTTTTGGGAGGGGGGCTTTTTGGTAAAGGTGTAGCTTAATCAGAAAATGCCATTTATTCTAGTCATAGTTTATGGTTATATGTCTTTTCTCAAGAAATTTAATTTTCATTTTTTCTATTATTTTAAGACAAAGTCTGATTATTGTTGGAAAAGAAATACACCAATTAGGCAAAAAAGCAGTGCTAAATTGGTTTAAAATCAATGCCAATCTAAAATCGTTCCTTTGTCAAATGTTAAATACGTCTGAATACTATAAACTGAAATATCATCAAATATTATATTTTTTATATTTTAATACAAGTTCAGCTTCTAACAATATATATAGTTCATAATTTTATAGACTTCATTACACAGATCACTTATTTATGAGGCTCATAAAACAAAGAATAGTAAGAACAAAAATTTATATTTTCAATTTAACAATTTATTGTATTTACCACAGAAAGGAACTATCAATAAAAAAGTATGAAAAGAGGCATTATTAAAATTAATTGTTATTTATTCTATGATACAGTATTCTTTAAGATTAGTTTGATTAAAAATGTTTGCTTTTAAAAATGTTTGATAGTTTGATTTTCTTTCAATTTTTTTAAATGCTCTTTTCTCCATGAGTACATAAACAATCCATACCTGTAGAACTTAAAAAAAAAAAAAAAAAAATCACAAATAATAATAAATCAAATAATGGTAAATGCTAAACAGAGAAAATGTTTTGGCGCTTATAAAGAATATTTAAAACTTGAATGAAATGACATTTTTAAAAAAAAGTCAGAGCTACATACTTCCCTTAATGGCGATTTACTCTACTCCCTGACCACAAGAGAAATTATCATGAAGGCAAGACATGTGGCATTTTTGGCCGATTTATTTATGAAAACAATGGATAGACATATGAAGGGGAAATAATTTCACAGAGTTCACATGTGTCTCCTCATGAAAATGATTTTCTAGTTAATACTCTGTTGGATAAGTTGAAACGTTTTGGTTGAAGCAGATAATACTCCGGTCCATGAACAAAGAATTATTGCAAAGTTTCTATTAAGAAGAAGGATCACAAGCTCATAAAATTTAATCAGGTTTTGAAGACAATATGCAGAATACTAATTGTCACCTATAACTACACTCTTTCTTTGAAGAGGAGATAAATTAGCTTCCAGAGTACTGGGAAAAATGCACTGAAGTATGGGCAGATTACTCTGAATAGTAACATGTTTCACAATTATGCAACAACTCAGTATTCTTAGGTCAGGCGCAGAATCACACACATATTTGGCAATTTTTACGAGATTGATAAGCATGCCAAATGTAATATCCAAAGCAATTTTTAGTGCTCTAGAGGAGTGCGAATTTTGGAGCATTTTTTGCATGCTCAGTATGTATTTTAAATTGAGAATTTATGATTGTAGATGGAAAAGCAGCAGTTATTTCAAACATTACTTCGAGAATCCGTGACATTTTATTCTTCAGCTGAGCTTAATGCAGTGGATTACACTTTTCAAGTAAATTTACAGATACTCACAAAGACCTCCAATGATATTATTATTGTTCAAAATGTGAATGAATGCATGCTGAATATTCTGAAAAAATTTTTTGCCATGTTGCCAGCTTTAGGAAAGTAAGCTGTGTTAAAATGGTACAGTCAAAAGTCGTTAACCCGGACTCGTCGGGACTTCGGCGATTCCGGATTATCGATCATCAGTTTAAATCTCGTAAGATGGCATGCAGAAATTCTAAAATTAAAAATATGAAACCGTAATTTATGAAATAAAGAATAATTATGATCTAAAGGGTATCAAAATTTACAAAAAAAAAAAAAAAATCTTAATATTTATTTGTTTACTTTATTAAACATTTCTTTTAATGTAAGTTGTTTAAGTTGCTTCAATTTATGTGATAATACTTTCTCTTTAATTCTATAAACAGAACATAATTTCTTGTTCAGTTACAAAGTTCCCGCTGTTCAAGTCCCGTTAATTGCTGTGCCGAGAATACCGACTAACTTGTCAATCGAAATTTTTTCGTTTTCACTAACCTCTCTCTCTGTCACATTCTTCATGTCTTTATCCATTTTTTGCAGCAATTCCACTTTTTGTTTGTTGGACATCGAAACATACTTTCGTTTTGTAGATCCTTTGGAAGTTCCAGCATCGGAAATTCTATTTGACATAATCGAAAGTTCAAGTTTACTTTTATAAAATTGCTCTTACAGTCAGTCTGCAAAAAATAATAAGCGGGATCCAATTCGAAGATTAAGTAACAACAACGCAATCATTAACATTAACTGAAATAGATAATTAGATAATTTTAGCTTACACCGTCCGTTATACATTAAACGCGCAGGCGAAAACGTATTCTGCACTTGCGCACACGCATATGCGCAGTAGTCAAGGTCTTACGCGCACGCGTAAAACGCCTGTGCGCATGTGCCAACGCAGCACATGCGCAGAAAGTTTTTAGCTTTGAGGTCCGGATTATGGGTGTCCGAATTAACGACTTTTGACTGTATATGAAAGAGGGGTTGACTGGATCATTGCATGCATGTCTGTAATGTGGGGGAAAGCATGAAATTGAGAGAAAGAAAGAGTAAAGGCAATAAATGATGATTTTGTAAGAATCAGTCTAATGTGAAAGAGGAAAGGCATAATGTGTGCAGGACTGTAAGAAAAGGCTCTTGGCTTGGTTTCAGTAACTTGAATATGTGTACAGTTTGGTTATTGATGCAAAAGTAATTTGGAAGGTGCCCTAAGAAATATGCAATCGAAGACCTGAATGTTTCTAATCACACAGTAATTGACTGGTATAATTTCCACAGGGAAATATGTATTCAAATTTAAATTATTATGCTTTTCTGAAAGAATTTTCAGTTTTTAAAATTTTCCTTAAACTTTTTATTTCATTTATTTTACTTTTTTGCCATTGTAAATGTCACACCTTGTGCATTGTCTTTTGGAGAGATTGCAACTCCTAGAGACAAGATATGAGAGTGCTCCAAGTTGACGATTTTGAAAAGCGTGCCAAGCAGTAGGTGATTCTTCACTTTCCCTTCTTTCTCAAACACAATCACATGTGTAATATACAACTGCAATGCTATAGAAGTTTAAAATCCATATATAAAACCATAATTTCGATATTTTCATATCAACAGCATTTAAGCATTCATTTATTTTTGAAAATATCTTGTTAAGTTTGCGAAAATAATCTTCCTAATTTAAAAAAGCATTTTTTTGGTCACTTGATAAATTAAAAAACAGTTATAACTAGCATATAAGACCAAACTTACAACTAACTAAAAGAAGGGGGAAAGAATGATATTTAGAAATTTAGAGCATTGTCAATACAGCAATACATGAAAGCGAACTAAAAAATATTTAATTTACAGTAACAAATTATTATTTGAATTATTTAATAATTTCATACATACCTTCTTCAGCAGGCAATTCTGAAAAGAAGGAAAAATAATGAGTATTTGAAAAATCAAAATACAAATTCAGAAAAATTCAAATTTCATTTAATAAACAAGATTTTAATATTGATTAAAATAAATGCCTTCTTAAAAATTGATTATTGCCTGATCTGCATTAAGATAAACCTAAAATCTACATTTTTGTATGCTAAAAGATATGTGTTATCAGTAAGTTATGTGTTGCCACTCTACAAATTGTAAAATATTTGTTTCAAATTTAATAAACAAAAATGCCCAATATAAAAAGAGACATGTTTCCACTCACAATATATTTGTCTTTTGAATTTAATATACAAACTCTGTGCTTTAAAAGAAATGCTTTGCCAATGCCTGGAATAAAATACTTTTATCTTCCATGTGGAAGTGTTTTATAATTCAGCAAAGAATAAAATATTTAACTTTTTTTTAATTTATTTAGTTATTATCATACAATGTGATTTAAAAGCAATGAACACAGATTCATTTAATTTGTTACTAATTACCAACTGACCGGTGAAATTAGACTAACTGGATTTAACATAAGATGGCGTTACTAGTATTAAATCCTATCAGACAATCTTGTTAAATATATTGATGTTAAAGCGCCAGCATTTCCATTAAAAAAAATCAGTCTGTTTCATTTCGCTGAAGTGTAAAAAACAAACTTTCTTTATACTCAACCAATGTCAACTTCTGTACCAACAAAACAAAATTTGCAAGAGGGGCTTTTTTTTTTTTTTTCCTTTTTAAGTTTTAATTTGAAGAAAAGTGCAGCTGATGAACATTGATTACTGTGTGAAGCATATGGGGAACATGCTTCATCAATAAAAACATGAAAGTACTGATTCCGGCGTTTTAAAAGTGATGATTTTGACACTGGACCAAGATTCCTGCCAAACTCGGGAGAAGCTCGCCAAAACCTTGGGAGTGACTCAACAAGTGATTTCAAAACGTGTTTAGGCCATGAGTATGACACATAAACAAGGAAATTGGGTTCAATATGAATTCAAGGCCAAGAGACGTAAAATGGCGTTTTTTCACGTGTGAACAACTGCTCCAAAAGCAAAATCGGAATTAGTTTCACCATCGAACCGTGATGGAGACCAAAAATTGGATCTACTTCCACAAGTGCAGAAAATCGTGGAGTACGCTCAACCATGCATCAACTTCAACGGTCAAACCAAATATTCATGGCAATAAGTTTAATGCTGTGCAATCTGGTGGGATGAGCTCAGAGTGATCTATTACGAGCTACTCTAGCCTTACGAAACCATCTATGGGAAACGTTACAAACATCAGTTTATGTAACTGAGCCGAGTACTGAAGCTCAAACATCCTCAATATGCCAAGAGACATGATAAAGTGATCTTTCAGCACAACAATGCCCACCCACATGCTGCAAAAGTCATCAAGAAAACTTTGGTGGTGCTTCAATGGAATGTCCTACTCCACCCAGCATATTCACCAGACATTGCTCCTTCCAACTTCTACCGGCTCCGATCGATGACTCGTGACTTGGCCAAGCAGCACTTCACTCCATAGGAAGAAGCCAAAAATTGGGTCGGTTCTTGGATCCCCTCAAAAGACGAGAAATTTTTTTAATGCAGATTCCATATGCTACTTCAAAGACAGGGAAAAGCCGTAGCTAACGAGGGACAATACTTTGAATAAAATACATTCTTCCAATTTCTCTGAATAAAGTTTCAAAGTTACAAAAAAAAAAAAAAATCTCAAAATTTATTTTGTACACCCAATACATGAAGAAGAGAGTGTTTACTTGTGTAATTCATACAGATTAACAGTTCTGAAAAAATTTTACGTAGTTAAGAAATTTTGCTAACTTGATCTCAACCAAGAGAAAGGTCACTGCTTATATATATATAAGATTATAAAACACCATATGGATTCTAGACTCGCAGCATTTATGCTTGAATGCTGTGTTCACATCACCTGTTTTAGGTTCATGCTGCCACTGTTGCATTCACTCTATCTATTCTTATTAAAACCATTAGATGGCACCCTGCTCATTTATTCTTTAAAATAGTGTAAAAATTTTAAAGCAGAATTTAAGCGGGCCATCTGTCAGTTTTATGCAAATATTTTAGAAACGGTGAAGAAATCGGCCAAAGTGAATGCAACTTCCAAAAAAATCAATAAGGATAATTGATAGCAAAGCAAGTTCTAGTTCTTATTAAAATCAGTACATGGTGCCATATTAGTTCAACAGTTTTATTTGAGCTCAGTTAAAATTTTACACAATTCACTTTGAACCGAAATAAGAGAAAATTCACTGTCCACCTGACATTTTGAAAACCTCCTAAATGAAGCATCTTCACTCTGTGTAAACATTAGGCAATACTGGGTACTTCAGCTAGTATCAGAATGAAGTAGCAGTAAAACAATGATTGGTCTTTTCAATTCAAAAAATGTTATGATTAGCATCAGAAGATGTTGCAAGTGTTGATATGGAAGCAATTTTTTAATCTTAACAAATCAACTGAAAGGTAAAAAGGGAGACACTATTCTAAGCTGACAAATGAGTTTCGTCTGAATAAAATATGCAAAAAAATATTTACAGCATAGGAAGAAAAACATTTCCTAGATTTATGCCGTCAAAATTAAACTCCAATGTGTACAGGAAATACAATTTTTTCTTTTAAATATCATTAATCTACATTACCGAATAGATCAAATATATTTGAAGTAAATTCTACGAGACATTCTTTTATTAATTTGGTTGCAGAGATAAAAGAGAACGCAGAATTGACACCTTTGAATTTTTGGGAAGATCCTTAATATCTTTCTAAAATTAGTGTCATAGACTACTTGGGAAGGTAAAGTTGAGCAAAAAAAAATATGTGATCAGAAATTAAGAATTCTGGTTATCTCTTCTTGCTTTTAATAGAAGATCATGCCTTTTTCCTCTTGATAGGTGAAATCATATAGGAATAAATTTGTAAATCAATGCTCAAGATGTGAAATGGAGTTTCCTAATGCTCTAGCTGTTATAGTTTAAAAATAAAATCTAAATTTTAAATCTATGTGTAATCATCACAGATTTGAATGAGAAATGAGCAGTAATAAATAGAAAAAAAAATAAGTATCTTTGTCTATTAAAAACATCTAACAGCATGAAAAATGCTAAATGCCTTTCCCATCCAGACTTCAGTGTGAAATTTGATCCATTCTTCTAAACTTCTCTCACTACAAAAACACTGAGCTGGTAAGATGTAAACTATTTATAGTTGTTAATGTTAATAATCTTGTATTATATGCAATTAACAAATTTTTTTCTACATCCTTTTTTTTCTTCCCATTGTTACTGTTAATAACGTTTATGCTAAGTGCAAACGAAAATGATTTTTATTTTTCTTATTATCATCACAGTCAAAACTGACCAGTATGAAGGCTGATACAAAAGTTCATTCCATTTTTTTGGATATTCAAATTACGAGTAGATTTGATGTTGTACATGACCATCTAACTAACAGAATTTACAGCCCAATAAAGCATGTAGGCCTATAGCATATCTATATATATATATATATATATATATATATATATAATAAAGTTTAGAAAAAAGATTTATCACAACAGCTGATTTTAAGTGCTCAACTGTCTAGATATTTACATATTTAAAAAATTAGTAGTATAATAATATTACCCACCATTGGGACCATATTTCTCTTGTAAATTTCTAACTTGAGTCGGTGATAAACCCCTTTCTGGATCTGTTCCGAATTGCTCTAATATTTCTTCACGAGTTTTAGTATGAGCAATTTCCATTTTTGTACTGATTTTACACACCACAAAATAAAATAAATGCAAGCAGTATTATTGACAGTTACACAGACAACACAGATAAACACAGAGTCACATGGAAACTTTAGATGATCTGGACAAACTCCTGAAAATAAAAGAAAAGCATTTAACAGCACATGTACAAAACTTTATTCAGAAAAACATATGCTGACAATTTAAATGCTTAAAGAAATATTTAATAAACACAAATATGTCCAGTTGCTTGGCATAAATAGCCACATGCGACTAAAATAATTATCCTGAAAGTTAAAATGGGGTGACACTAAGATATCGATACGTTAAATTTAATAATTATTATGTACCTTTTCTGGCAGAAATGTAAAAAGAACAGATTAATAATTCTCAAGAGAAACACTTGAGCTTTTAATTTTCTATGAAAAGCATTTTCTTTTTCTTTCTATCAAATTAGATTTAAATATGTATTAAAAAATTAACATTCCAATACAAGATATTTCATGTTCTCATACATCAAGACAGAGATTACATTTATTTTTATCACTTCTTTAATCAATACATAGCTTTTTAAGAATGGCACATGAAGTAACATTTGGGAACAGATTAATTACAGCAAAAGTGCTTCTAACAATTTATTTTGACAGTATATTGGTATTGTTTTAATGAGAGCATAATTAACCAATTTCATTTTATTACAATTGTTGCACGCTACACAAATAGCTATATGCAAAGAGCTACAGGGGGACTGCGCGAGCCCTTTATTAAATTTGTCAGTCCCTAATTCTTTGTTTGCTTTTTATTTATTGAGAGAAAAATAAGTTTTGCATGTCATAACCATACTTTGACAAATATTAAATTTCACACAAAAGGACAATATAAAAATAAACTATTTTTTAAATTTTACTCATATGGCTTTAGTACAAAAACTGCATAACTAAATTACTAACTGTGCAAGAACAGCTAATGCAGAATATCATTATTAATCAACATCATGTCAAAAAGTCAAGAACTTATTGGTTTAGACCTTATAAGAGTCTAGAAGCCATTGTATTAGCAGCATTTAAAACTTAATCTCAGCTTAATAAACACTATTTCTACATCAGCCTCTTTCGCTGTACAATACATTTCAAATTTAATGATAATCTTACATGGAAAACTTCCATGATTATTTAATCCTAACTCTTATGGTTAGACTGGATTGGATTATTTAAATCATGGTAAACCATATGCATGCTATCTGCTTAAGAGTGCCTTCGTGGGAAAACTTTTTTAAATGAAACTGTTACTGTTTCATATTTATGTAAGGCATGACAGAATACATAAAAACTAATGGAGACAGCCTGCTTCCTAGGATTTGAACCTGCATCAAACTAACAGTGTTCAGTGATTTTCCAGATTATAGATCATCAATTTAAATCTGGTAAGATGGCATGCAGAAATTATAATTAAAAATATGAAACTGTAATTTATGAAATAAAGAGCAATTATGATCTAAAGGGTATCAAAATTTACAAAAAAAGCTTAATATTTATTTGTTTACTTTATTAAACATTTCTTTCAATGTAAGTTGTTTTAAGTTGCTTCGTTTTTTGTGATAATACTTTCTCTTTAATTCTATAAACAGACAATTTCTTATTCAGTTACAAAGTTCACTGTTCAAGTTCTGTAATTGCTGTGTCGAGAATACCGACTAACTTGTCAATCAAAATTTTTTATCGTTCTCACCATGAAATATGGTAGCTGGCCATAAATTATGCCAAGCATTTTTTAACGTATCTGGAGACACATCCTCCCACGATCTTGCGATGCTCCAAACAGCAGATTTTATGCTAATGAATTTCAAAGTCTTGCCATTGTTCAAGTAATTTAACATAGATTTTAAAAATGCTACTTTATATTTGCATTTCAGTGTGTGAACTATTCCCATATCTATAGGCTGAATGATAGAAGTACAATTTGGAAGAAGAAGAATACGGATACATTATTTTTCATTAAAATTTTAAGTGAAGTATGCGCCGAACAGTTGTCAACAATCGGGACTATTTTTGAGTCATCAGGTAAACCTACCGAATTCAAATGTCGCTGAGCCTCGGGTATAAAATGATTTTCAAACCAATCATTCATCAACGCTTGTGTCATTGATGCTCTTTTATTTGCCCGATATATAACGTGGAAAATCGTTACTCCTTTAAATGCTCGAGGTCGTACATGTTTTCAGATTACCAAAAGTTTGCACTTGTGCATTCCTGCAGCATTTACGCACACTAAAATAACTAGTCTTGCTTTGAAATCTTTGACACCAGTTGGAGCCTTTTCTGTAGAGGTTATTACATATTTCCAGCGCCATTCTGACTAGAGGGTGCTGTGTTCATCCCAATAGTCAATGGCAGGCAGGATACTAAAGGTGTAGGACATGGAAGGCAGAGATGCCTAATAATATATCTCTAATTAATTGAAATTTTCATATATTTTCTTGTAAATAAATGTTGTTATTGTTTACAAAACCTCTTATTATCTTTTGGATGCACCTTTAGTCTCACAGAACCATTAGATGCAAAATTGGTGCATCTTGTTCTCGAATGTGGAATATCAGAAGTAATTAGTCATCATTACTGGATTATATTTCTGAGAAGTTTGGATACTGCACGTACGCTTTTGGTTACGTAACATTGCATACTGGACTGTGGAGGTAAGATCTTTTGAACTCACAAATTCAGAGTTAATGTGGCTAAGCTTTCGAAAATAATTGAAAAAAGAAGTAACGTTCGCGCTAGTGTTACTAAACTAGTTAAAAGAGTGCAGAACCTCGATGAAGCTGTCGAAGACGTAAGTTCATTATTAGAACTACTGGAACTATTAGAAACAAAGGAGCAGATCTTGAAAAGCTGATTTAGAGGTCGAAGCACTCATAGACGATCCGGAAAAATTTAAAAGTGAATTAAAAGCTTCGGAAGAATACAATGACAAAATATTGTTCGCTAAGATAAAATTAAAGAATTAGCAGCAGAAAATGTTTAGCGGACTTCTTCAGTTCTTAACACATCTAGCATTTCAGAAAACACCTTTACGGCTTTAAAAAGTTACCAAAGTTAGAAATTTCACGATTCTCTGGTGATTCTAGCAAATTTATGGAATTCTTAAACTGTTTTGATAGCACAATTGGTTCAAACAATTCACTTTCACTTACGAAAATTGAAAAATTCCAATATTTAAAATCTCTTCTTTCTGGTCCTGCATATAACGTTGTTGCGGGTTTTGAATTAAATGAGAAAATCTATGACTTATGTCTTGAGCTTTTAAAACAAAGATATAGTAGAACTGATTCTATTATAAATTCTTACATGACTAAATTATTAAGCTTAGAACCCGTGAGATGTTCGTCTAATGTTAAGGGTTTGCGTAAATTATACAATGAAATAGAAGTTAATATAGGAAATTTCCGTTCATTAAATGTAACGGAGGGTTCATATGGGCATTTATTGAATCCAGTATTATTGAAGTTGCTACCACAAGATTTGGTGTTAGATTTTCACCGAAAACGAAACAGGGAAGTGAATTGTGAGGTTTCGGAAATTATTAAGTTTTTGAGGAATGAAGTCGAATCTAGGGAAATTGCCGAAACTGTGATGAGCCCCCTAAAAAGTTATGAAACGAAACGATTTTTTTCCCCAAATTATCAAAGTGGTCAAACTTATCAGAAAAACTATTCAAAGCCTAAAAATATATTAACTGCTTCAGCGTTAAATACACATATAAAAAATGTTTGTTTATTCTATGACAGTCATCACGATTCCGTAAGTTGTAAAAAATTGGACGTAGAACAAAAAATAAATAAGCTAAAGACTGAAGCTAGATGCTGGTGTTGTTTTAAAAAATATCCCGTCTCGCGAATGTAGGGCAAAAATATCGTGTAAAAATTGTTTAAGCAATTTTCATCATGAGTCAGTGTGTAAAAAAAATAAACCAGTTAATGTTATGTTGAAAGGTTGCGAGAAGCAAGTGGAAAGCAAAACTGTTTTAAATGACTCCCAATCTAAATCTAATAAAAACGCCGAGAATATTTCTGTGTCTCATAGTAATATATGTATCAAAAATAAGCCCTTTTTACATACATGTATAGTTTTTGCCTGTTCGGATAAAAATTCAGTCTTAACTAATGTTATTATAGACAATGGTAGTCATCGAAGTTTTATTTCATCTCAATTAGTTAAAGAATTAAAATTAAAGCCAATACGCTACAAAAGAATAGATATTTTTGCTTTCGGAGACAAAATGGCACGTGAGAAGGAATACGGTATCGTTTCATTGACGTTGCGCAATAGGGATCAAAGTTCGAAATCGTACGAGTTAGAAGCTGTCATAACGGAATATATATCTAATTTGTCCTTGAAAATTCCTGATGTATCTATTCGCAATGCGTTGAAGGAAAGAGGTTTACCTTTGGCTGATTCATTTTCTGGCGACTGTCAGAAGGAAATACTTATCGGATGCGATTCATTTTGGGACGCTGTTTATGACGAGAGAGTAAAGTTAAATGAAAACATTACTGCGATAAATTCTTGTTTCGGTTGGTTATTAGCGGGAGTGGAAGGATGTAATAAATTGAGTAATAATTATGAAAATGTATGTTTAGTCATGGACTCTTCCATTTTGTGCGATTTGAAAAAATTTTGGGAAACAGAAGAATTTCAGTCAGACAAACAAAACTTTTCTGAATGAGACAATCAATTGATTGAAAAATTTGAAAATTGTCTGGAATTGAATGGGGAAAGGTATGTTTGTAGATTGATGTGGAAGGAAAACTTGGGACCTGCAGTTGGATTGAATTCTAATTATGAGGTTGCAAAAAAGCGTTTTGATTCGTTAAAGCACAAACTAAATAAAAAAAATCAAGAAATTTATGACCAGTATAAACAAATTATATCGGATCAGTTAGAATGTCAGATTGTGGGAAAATGTGTTAATGAAGATAAAAATTCAGGATATTATATACCCACAGAGCAGGTAATTAGGGATGACAAGGAAACAACTCGAGTTAGAATTGTTTATGACTGTAGCAGTAAGGCTAATGAAAATAATAAATCTCTTGAGGAGTCTCTAGAATTGGGAGTAAATCTTTATGCAAATTTA